TATCGACCAGGGGAGGCCAGTCGGCGCCCGCAGGTCGGCGTCATGTCGACGAACACCTTCGTCGGCCGCCACCTTCACTTCGTCGGCCTACGCCGTGGCCGGCTTCGCCGAAGTCGGCTCCGCTTAGGTCGGTCAACCAAGACGACTTGCTCCTCCAAGTCGGCGCCGACTACAAAGCCTAGCCGGCTGCACACCTTGCAAGCCGGACAACGAAGTCGACTTCGTCCAAGCGAGGGCGGGGCCTTTTTTCGCCAACAGACCTTCTGCGTCGAAACGCAGAACTCTGGGGGACGCCATGGTGCAGAAAACGGGCTAGATACTGCAGGCTAGGAACGGTGGCTGGGAACGGTTGGCAAAGTACAGCTGGCTATGAACTGCTGGCTAGGAGCGGCGGGCGAGGAACGCCTGGCTAGAAGCGGCGGGATACGGACACTGGCTACGGACGGCTGGTTAGGAAACGGTGAACTAGGAACGGCGGGTTAAGAACAAACGGCGGTAGTAGGATCTACAGCGGCTTCCAGCTGCCACTAGGTGGGGGAGTGATGCACGCCGCTGGTGGTGCGTGGGGAGGAGGGTGGCGGCTTGCTGGCCAGCGGGGCGCGTTGCTGGTGGGGCGCGAGGTGGCTGGCGGGGCGCACTGCTAGCTGGCGGGGTGTGCGCTAGCAGGGGCGCGCGCTGGCTGGCGGGACGGGCGCTAGCAGGGCGCGCTGGCTGGCTGGCGGGGCGCGCGCTGGCGGCGCACGCTGCTGGTGTGCATATTTCGCTGGCGGGGCACGCGCTAGCGGCGCGTTTGTCTGGCGGGGCGCGCTCTGCTGGCGGCGTGCGTCGCTGGCTGCGTGTGCTAGCGGGCTGGCTGGCTGGCTGTTGGCTGGCTGGCGGGACAGGCTGGCTGACCGGCGGATGGTCTGGGAACTAGGAAGATAGGTGGTCTAGAGTCTAGGAATGAACCTCCGATGATACCATGTCAAAGTAGAACAGCGGAATGGTGATCAACTAAGAGGAGGGTGATGCAAATAGGAAACCCTAATTATGCAAAAGAGTGGTGCTCACTAAGGAGCAACTCATCCTAGCCTAAAACTAACACATATATAATTTGACACCATCAACTGAAAGCTATACTACATTTGTTCATACAGTAGGTTTTTTTTTTTTTTTTTTTTTTTTTTTTATGCCAGATCCCCTGAACTACCTGCAGCAAAAACCACGTGCACAAAACACCCCGAAGGGGTATACCAGCCCGAGTGTGAAGGAGATAGAGAGGCGCAGCGAAAGATGTTGCGGTAGGAAGGTGCAGCGGCGGCAGGTGCAGCGGCGGCAGGTGCAGCGGCGGCAGGTGCAGCGGTGGCAGATGCAGCGGCGGCGGATGGAGCGGCGGCAGGTGCTCAGCGATGACAGATGCTGCAGCGGCAAGTGCGGCGCCAACAAGTGCTGCTGCGGCAGGTGCGGCGGCTGCAGCTGGCAGCGGCGGTAGGAGCTCAACGGTAGCATGTGCGGCGCCTGCAGCAGGCAGCAGCAGCAAGTGCTCAGCGGCGACATGTGCGGCAGCGGCAGGTGCAACGGTGACAGCTGGGGCGGCGGCTGACGCTGTAGGTTCACGACCACCACCGCAGCCTCCCCCCCACAGCGTTAGCCGCGGGCGCAGCAGGCTCATGCGCGGCAGGTACGGCTGCGAGAGGGCGTGATGGGGTTGCTGTTGGGGAGTAGCATTGTAGCCACCTGTTGTTATTAGGGCTCCTGCCTTTCCTATCAATCTCTCTTTCTCCTTTCAAACTTTCCAAGCTCCTACCTCTCCGAAACCTAGTTTAACAAGGAATTTAAAACCATATGCCCACGCCCTCCCGATCCTCCAATGGGCCCACCTCGAGCACTCCGTCGAGACCCCACCGTTGCGCCCCCCTCCCGGCCCCACCTCGAGCGCCCAGTCGCGGTCCCGTCGAGCGCACCTTCACGCCCTCCCTTCGCGCCCCAGCCGCGGCCCCTGCCGCGGCAGCCGGTGCCGCATCTGTCGCGAGCCTGACGCGCGCTCTGCCGTGGCTGTCGCTGTGAGGGGGAGGCTGCGGGGGTGGCGGTCGTGAGCCTGCAGCGCCAGCCGACGCCCAATCTGCCGCTCTGCCGCGCCTGCCGCTGTGGGGGGGAGAGGCTGGGGGGGTGGCGGCCGTGGTGGAAGGGGTGGCGGCTGTGACTGATGCCCTTCCTTAATACACCCCTCCCCCCCCCTCCCTTCCGCTACGCTTTTCCTCTTCCTCACACTCTCTCTTTCCCTTTCGCTGCATCTCCTCCTCCTCACACGTTGCTCGTTGCTCGTTCTTCTTGCTAGCTCTGCTCGCCAATCGCACGCCTTCCGCCACGCCTGCAGCGCACCTGCTTTTGCGCGTCAGTCGCTGTGCCCCAGTCGCTGTGCAGCAGCCCGCAGGGAGCCAGCCGTCACAACTCTCAAGGACCTCTAAGTTGGTGTACCCCTTCAGAAGGTGTTCGTGCACTAGCTCTTGCTGCAAGCCGTTTAGGGGGTATGTCAAAACATATTTTATATAAATTGCTTACACCATAGTTAGTGTAGTTACATCATAGCCACCTGTTGGTGGTGCACCACTCATTGCCCACCCTTTGCTTGTACTTCTAGGGATATTGCGCTTCCTATCAATCTCTCTTTCTCCTTTCAAATTTCCCAAGCTCCTACCTCTCATAAACATAATCTAAGAGTATGTTCGTAATTTTCAATAACGTGTTCAATATTCGTATGGTTAATTGCACAGTTTTGATTGAAATTCATGCCAACATTACCTTACTCATGATTGTTGGCACTTATGCCTGGAGCCTTTTCCTTTACGGCTGCATATTTTGATATATTGTCGAAGACATGTTAGTATTTGGTAGTTATGTTGTTATAGGATAAATATTTTCATTAGTATTTGTGGGAATTTCTCACTATAATGCTTGCATCATGCTAAAGCATGTTAGCATGAATGTTTCATAAAGGTTGAAAAGAGAATGCCTACTTCAGTTTCAAATTTATATGGTCCATTTTAGAAGAACCACCCGGAAAATGCTGGGCAATGACGGGCATCCGCTGTTGCCAAGCACGCAAAACTGCACCCATTGATGAAATCACTTTTTGACCGCATCCTCACGTCTGTTAGAACAGCCTGAAAACAGCTGTCGTAAAAATCTGTAACTGTTTGAGTAGGTATGGAAGTGTCATCTTGTGGGATGATTTTGCATGAGCGACCACCGTCGATTCTGGTTTAAACGGTACGAGATCCAGATCTTGCTTCCACTCGTGTCTTTGGGCATGGAAGGTGGTGCAGACTGAGGTTTGCGCCACTCAAAATGCAGGAACACTCTGTCTGAGCAGGAACACTCGTCCGCAATTTGTGGGTCCTTCGGTTGATCAATGTTTCCAGCTCGTTCTTTTTGGGGCATGTAATCCCTGGGCTTTGGCAAAATTGGAGAGTTATTGTAGCTTACGATAGGTAATGATGCCTGCCGAATTTATTTCGGCCCGTGGTTTGGAGTTGGGCAGGCAACCAACCAACCCGAGCTTCAACCCGCATGTCTGCGTCGGCGAGAGCTGGATTCATCCAAAGTTGGCTGTCCTAAGCGGATATTTCTGGGAGATGTCACCCCCGAGTACTACCAGAGATATACTCAAAACAAAGGAGTTGTCAATCCAACCTCGCAGTCTAGAGCCTAAGCGTGGACGAAAACGAACTGCAACCCTATAGGTGTGGAAATATTTATCGTCAGCCTGGTCGGGAACTTGGGATCCGAAGTGGTCGGAAGAATAGCGCTTTCCTGCGTTATTGGATGAGCGGTGTTGGCGGGATGTTTTTTTGGTAAGGATTGAATACTCTATGAAGTTAGTGGGATGCCACTCCACATTGCGTGATGCAACTTTACGAAACGAGTACCAATTTGAATTCATAGGGTTTACTATGTCTCAAACCAGAAGATTTTGAGTAGTTACAGTTTAGATGCACCGTGAGTCGTGGTGAGTTCTACATTCTCCTGCGCGATCCATGGCATGTTCGTCATTCGTGGAGGAGAGATCCATTGGCAGGCTGGGCCGTACCGCCGAAGTTTGGGCAGCACTCGCATTTGTGTTCTGCTCTCTGACTCGCAACTCAACGCGTCTCCTCTCCTCCCTACCTACACTTCGACTTACTCTCCACCTCTCTCCTCTGCTTGCCCGCTCCAGCGATTTCCTCCATTGGATAATACCTACGCGTTACCACCACCACGTCCAGCAGCCATAGCTCTTCATCTCAATTATCTCGATCCAACGGCTTCTGACTAGGAACCCTAGCGCGGCAGTAACCAGTTTCCATGCGGATATCGTAGTTCACATCTCCAATTCTCCAGGACAGGTCAAGTGCTCCTTGATTCGAATAGCACGCTCCTCACACCAGGCATTCGAAAGCTCTTCGCTTACTTGCACCAGGCATTCGTCCTATCACAACCTCTCGTGCTGCGCAAATTTCTCCGCAATGAGGGAACATAAGCGACGTTCCTTGAGTTCCGACCTTCAATCAGAGGCCAACCCGAGCCGATCACTCAGCTCAAACGTGATGCGAAAGTCCGCAGTGCTCCTGAGCCAGCTATCCGCCCCGTCCTTCCCCGCTTTCCAAGCCGTCTGCGACACTCCGCGAGGGCCCTGCCCGCGTTCGCGCAGCGTCTTCTCGGACACGAGCGATGTCGCATTGTCGTCGGCGATTCGCTCCAGCGACTCTGCGATCGCCGCCTGCGCTGGCGACTCACCGTGGGACCGCGCGAGCCAGGGCAGCAGCGCCTGCCTGTCGCGCAACAACAGCGGCGCTAGTCGCACGTGCGACGAGCCTGAGATTATCAGCCCCAAGTTGCGACTGCCGACGTCGCGCGAGTTCAGTCGCCTGCGACTCTGCTCGTCGGAGGCGGGCCCGAGCTCGCCTCTATTCTCGCGAAAAGTCGCCTCGCCGTTACGCAAACGCGACGAAAATCCGCGATTGAAGCGGAAACGGCCGCCCATGCTCAACATCCCTGCGAAGGACTCTTTCACCGCGTCGCCGACAACTACGCCGGGAAACACGCCGGGAAACACGCCGCGAAGCACGCGCGCGCAGGAGGCGGAGGAGGCGAGCGAGCTTGTGGCGGTGGGTTGCTCGTACGCTGTTATGTGCAAAAAAGGGCGGCGCGAGTTCATGGAGGATGCTTACCAAGCCATCCCGCAGTTCGGCACGTCTCCCGGAAATGTAAGCGTGCGCACTGCGCGTCGATGCGTGCATATCAAATGTTGACAGAGTTCCCTCGTAGCCTTCTCCCCCTCCTCCTCCCCCCACCCACTTCCCTACTATCGCCCTCTCACCCCTTCTCATTCTATCGCTATATGCTGGCATGCTTGTTCTCCTTTGTCTTCTTCCACGCCTCAACCTCACCCGATTCTCGTGCTCGCATTTGTCCTCATCAGGCCTTCTTCGGCGTGTTCGACGGCCATGGCGGCACCATGGCGGCGCGGTTCGCAGCGGGCAACATCGCGGGGAACGTTCTGAAGGCGGCGCAGCAAGGCGCAGAGAGCCCGGAGGCGGCTTTGGTGGAAGGCTTTAAGGAGACTGATAAACAGTTTCTTCAACAGGTAACCTCGTCATGCATCTTCTCCTCCTTCGCGCCATCTCTTCATATTCGCGCATATCGATTTCGTTTTTTTTTTGTTTACTTCCCATTTTAGCTGCTTCTGATCTGATCCGTTTGTGTTCATTCACGGTGTGTCTCCGCAGAATCTGGGCAGCGGTTCGGCTGTGGTGACGTGCTGGGCTGCCCCTGGTTCGATCCACGTGGCACATGCAGGCGACTGTCGCGCCGTGCTCTGCCGAAAGGGCGCGGCCAGTGTGCTGACGTCAAATCACAAGGCGTCTCGGGAAGACGAGCGCGACAGAATCGAAAACCTTGGAGGGCACGTGGATAATTTCACGGGAACTTGGCGCGTGCAGGGAGTGCTGGCTGTTACACGAGGCCTTGGCGATGCAAACTATAAGGAGTACATCACTCCGGAACCGGAGTGGTTCACGTACCGGTTTCGAGAGACTGCGATTTCCTTATTATGGCATCAGATGGACTTTGGGATGTGGTAAGTCCTTACCCACACCTTATTTTTTCTCAACAACCACTTGTGTATGGCGTCAATCCATGCCTTCAGATAAAGAGGCCATGCATTTATTTAACATTTTCTTAACTGCATCCTCTCGCATTTTCCTCCCTTGTTTTCCATTTTCAGGTGACCAATCAAGAAGCCGTCGACATCGCCCGATCATGCCTGGAAGTTGAAATCAAGGCGTTCAAGCGCAACAACCCTCCCTCCGCCAAAACAAGTGCATCCTCTCTCTCCACCATTCCCTCCTTCTCCTCCACCTCTACTGAATCCTCCTCTCTCACTCTCAACTCCGACGGCAAAGAATCCGCATCGGACGACGGCCTCACAACACCTTCCCCGGATGCCGATTCAAATGCCAAGCTCAACCCATTTGCTCTAAAAACTCCCCGAGAGCGTACCAGCAGCGTTTTTGCTGTCGGGAGTCTAAAACAGGTTACCGAGTCCGCCCAAGAAGGGGACAACCAGGGCCGCGATATCACTGCATTCCCTTCAACGGAGGAATCTGATGTGTCATCCAGCAGTGAAGACTCTGCGAATGAGGTCAGCGAGGGCAGCGAGGAAGGCAGTGAGGGGAGCGAGGGGAGTGAGTCGGAGGAGGGCGGAGAGGGAGAGGCTGGTTTGCAAGGGAAGGGCCGGAAGGCGCAGGGGACTGAAGAGTCGGTGAAGTCTGCACTGCTGCTGGCGTGTCAGAAGCTGGTGGAGGCTGCTGGGAAGCGAGGCAGCCATGACGACACGAGCGTCATGGTCATCTCCTTGGCACACTACATGCTCTAGAGCCGTCGCCGCCATGCCTTGAGCCGTACGCGCTCGACTTGCTGGGGCTAGGTCGTTGGGGTCACCATGTGATGTGACCCTGTATTGTGCAACGAGGTGCCGTGCGTTACTCACACGGGTACAGATCTAGATCAAAAGATTTTGTGGCTCCTCAAGACCGGGCGCCTCATGAAGCTGGCATGTGTCAGTTATATTACCACATGGCCTGTCTTGGTTAGAGGTTGCCGTCCGCATGCTGATTTCAGCTTGTTTTTCCCCAAAAAAATCTAGTGGGTTGCCTGTCTTACCGTACGGGATCTTTTTTTATTCTACTAGTGTATTGATCAGCTGTAGGTCCTTCGCAGAGCCATGGAGAGTGTTCCAAGATGAGTCCTTGTAACATCATACCCCAGACATAAGTGCAGGTGCACTTATAATATAACGGGTTTTGTTTAGGGGGTGAGCTTCGTATTGAGTAAAATGTATAGTATGCGCCTGTATTCATCAACCAACAGGGGTATACTGGTAGCATGAACAAAACACAAAAACGGAGATGTCTATACTTGCTGTCATCCATTGAAAAAACAAGGCAAAAAATGCACAGCTTCAGTATTTTACAAATCAACGGTCAACATTGACCATCCTGGTGGCTTTCAGCTGCACTAAAAGGGCGCAGCAGGAATTCCGCCTCAGCGCGCCACACACACGAGCCCCCTCCTCGCACGTAGCGTGTTTGCGGCATCACAACAGGCGTGGACGAGCCAAACGCCATTGCTCTGCTGCAGCAGCAGATGGTTTCATTCATTCCATCAGCCTCCTCCACGCCACTTCTATCAACCACCTGACCAGAGCCTTGAGACGCCTTAGCAACGCCTTCTTTCTGGCTATGCACCGCCCACATGCCTCGCGCCTTTGCACCGCCTCCTTCCCGCCTTTGTGGCGCTTAGAATTTAAAAGTTCTACACTACAGCTCCTCACCCGTCGAAGCAGAGGAGCAGCCAATCATCAGCCGCCAAGCAGAAAACTGCCAGAAGCTGACAGCGGAAACTGCCACAACGTCTCAGCCGTCAGAAGACAGGGTAACAATCGGACGTTTTGGTGTAACAACCATGGAGACCCATGCCACCTGGTGTGGAGGCACGCTATGGCTCAGCTTTGCCGTGTCCCCAACAATGGGATGGGGAGGCGCTAGGCGCTCGGCTGTGAGCGCAAGAATAAATGGCGAGGCTGCTAGGCCTCCTTAAGCTTTGCCTTGTCCTCTCCGAAGTTGGCTCGAGAGCAGTCGGCAAAGAGCGACCACATGATGGTGCCGGAGAGGTAGAAGGCGATGGAGGGCAGGAACATGGCCGTCTGGGAGGGGATAGATGGGGTGGGACATGATGGGGCAGAAACGGGATCGGGACGCAACAAGAGTGTGATTAGTGCGGGAACAGGAGCAATCGGCAAAGAGCGACCACATGATGGTGCCGGAGAGGTAGAAGGCGATGGAGGGCAGGAACATGGCCGTCTGGGAGGGGATAGATGGGGTGGGACATGATGGGGCAGAAACGGGATCGGGACGCAACAAGAGTGTGATTAGTGCGGGAACAGGAGCAATCGGCAAAGAGCGACCACATGATGGTTCCGGAGAGGTAGAACGCTATGGAGGGCAGGAACATGGCCGTCTGGTGGGGGATAGATGGGGCAGAGGGATGGGACGGGGGATAGATGGGTCAGAATGGGATGTTGAAGAAGCAACGAGAGTGTAATTAGTGAGGGATGGAGAGCAGTCAGCAAAGAGCGACCACATGATGGTTCCGGAGAGGTAGAAGGCGATGGAGGGCAGGAACATGGCCGTCTGGGAGGGGATAGATGGGGCGGAATGGGATGTGGAAGAAACGACGAGAGTGTGATTAGTGAGGGAAGGAGAGCAGTCGGCAAAGTGCGACCACATGATGGTGATGGTGCCCGAGATGTAAACGGCGATTGAAGGGAGGAACATGGCCGTCTGGTGGGGAACAATGCGGCAGAAATGGGTGTGGAAGAAACACCAAGAGTGTGATAAGTGAGGGAATGAACTTGGAAAAAAGAGAGAGTCAAACATAGGACAAGGAACAACGAAGATCACGCGATTCGATTGAGCCACACTTGAACAGAGATTGTAAGTACTCACTGCACAGGAGTGGCCGCGCAGGAGTGGGTCTGGTCTGGTCGAACAAATAGCAGGTGAGTGGCACGCCCACGATGCCAACTAAGTCAACAAAGAAATCACTTCAAGTGAAGCCACATCACGAAAGCAGTGTAGTACTCACCGCCCAGGAGTGGGTCTGGTCAAACAAATAGCCGGTCAGTGGCACGCCCACGATGCCAACTAAGTCAACAAAGAAATCACTTCAAGTGAAGCCACATCACGAAAGCAGTGTAGTACTCACCGCCCAGGAGTGGGTCTGGTCAAACAAATAGCCGGTCAGTGGCACGCCCACGATGCCAACTAAGTCAACAAAGAAATCACTTCAAGTGAAGCCACATCACGAAAGCAGTGTAGTACTCACCGCCCAGGAGTGGGTCTGGTCAAACAAATAGCCGGTCAGTGGCACGCCCACGATGCCGGGAATCGCCCCCACTGTCGTTGACATTCCCTGCACAGCACAGGAGAGCCAGACCGCAGAAATGTCAGGACACCAGACACACAAAAAAGATAGAGGCATTAACTGCCTGTACACAGGTGACAGGCCTACAAGGCTTATGCTCCCTCTGCGAACGGCAGTGCAGTGGATGGGGCCAGACCTTTGGCGTTTTTAGCCGGTGCTGCACACGTTGATAAAGATGGCCTGCCTATGTTTGTGTGCAAGGAATCCGGGCACAGCACTGGGCATGCTTTTGACGCACGAGAAATTCCAACTAGTGAACAAACGTCTCTGTGTCCATGCTTGTGAGATGACTCACCAGCAGGACACTGGCGTGTTTGGGGGAGATGTCCTGATGAGAGCAGTAGAGGCCTGGCGGAAAGAGAAGATGGTTCAACAATTGGCAGCAAGGTAGAAAAGAGTAAGAAGAGTGGGTTCAAAGGGGAAGAGTGGGGGTTTGCTGTGGTGGCAGGGAAGAAGTGGGGAGAAGAGCAAGCAAGATAGACAGCGGTTGGGATGCGAGGTGAGGCAAAGACACTGAGTCAGTGGAGCAGCGTGGAATCCAAGCCGTGGGGTGAGGTGAGGTGGGCGCAAGAAGATAGTTATTTGCTTCCGTACCAGCATAGGAGCACGCAGAGAGGCCAATGCCACCAGAGAGAGCCGCCACAAGCAGCCAGGTTGGGAGATTGTGGTCCGGGCCGAAGCTGGCCACTGCCATGCACGCTGCCGGACCTAGGAAGGCCATCCCCTGAGCTAGCTTTCGCACCAGGCTAACATCTGTGCCCTCTGCAATAAGCCGGTCTGCTGCCGGCGCCACCACCGCTGACACAGCGATGGAGAGAAGCGGCGGGAGGAGAGACAGCTGGGAGGGGGAGAGGGAGGGGAGGAAGGGGGGTGAGGAGTTGAGGGAGGAGGGTAGCATGAGATCAATGTGATGAGGAGGAGGATGGTCAGATGGATGGATGGATGGATGGAGAAACGAAGTACGAGGCAATGGTGATGGCAACGGTGCAGGAGGAGTTAGCGAGTTGGTTGGACTGGAGATGTGGAGCAAACATGTGGTGCAGGGCGAGGGTGCTTACCAGTGATGCTTGAGTGATGTCCAGATGAAGCTCCTTGCTGGTGGAGGAGGGGGAAGGAAGGCGAGGGAGAGGAGGGGAGGGGAGGAGAGGGGAGGGGAAGACAAAGGAGGGGAGGACGGAGAAAGAAGTGAGGCAGAGGAACCGCGGAGGACAAGGGAGCACAAGGGAGAAGCGAGACGACCTTCAGCCACAGTCTGCACGTGCCTGGCAAGGCAGAGCAGCACAGCAGAGATATACCCATGCAGCACGCACACCGTATTCAGCCCCCTATGGCATGGCATGACGTTTACCTGTAGTAGGTGGGAAGCCAGGCGAGGAGGATGCGGTGCCCCCAGTTGTTGCAGAAGTGGGCATACACCACCGCCTGCACCGCCCTGCTCCTCAGCAACTCTCCCCACGGTGCAACACACAATCATGCAGCATGCACACTGCATATTCAGCCCTAAGGCATGGCCCAACACTCACCTGTAGTAGGTGGGCAGCCAGGCGAGCAGGATGTGGTGCCCCCAGTTGTTGCAGAAGTGGGCATACACCACCGCCTGCACCGCCCTGCTCCTCAGCAGCTCGCCCAGCAGCTCGCCCCATGGCACAACACAACACAACACCCATGCAGGGTCCAACACGCACCTGTAGTAGGTGGGAAGCCAAGCCAGCAAGATGTGGTGGCCCCAGTTGTTGCAGAAGTGGGCATACACCACCGCCTGCACCGCCCTGCTCCTCAGCAGCTCGCCCAGCAGCTCGCCCCATGGCACAACACATCACAACACCCATGCAGGGCCCAACACTCACCTGTAGTAGGTGGGAAGCCAAGCCAGCAAGATGTGGTGGCCCCAGTTGTTGCAGAAGTGGGCATACACCACCGCCTGCACCGCCCTGCTCCTCAGCAGCTCGCCCCACGGCACTGCTGGGTCCGCCCCTCCCCCCTCCTCCACCAGCCTCCTCTCCTCCTCGCTCTCCCTCAAATCCTCACTCACTATGTCGCCCTGCAAGGGGTGGGGAGGGGAGTAGAGGAGAGAGGGGAGGAGGGGAAAGAGAAGGGAGAGAAGGAGCGATTGATAACAAGGCATCCGCGCCTCCCCCCTCCTCCACCAGCCTCCTCTCCTCACTCTCCCTCAAATCCTCACTCACTATGTCGCCCTGGAAGGGGAGGGGAGGGGAGCGGGGGAGGGGAGAGTTAACAAGGCACTAGGTGTTATCACTCTCCCTCAAATTCTTCACTCACTATGTCACCCTGGAAGGGGAGGGGAGGGGAGGAGGGAGAAAGGGGAGAATTAACAAGGCACCAGGTGTTACGGGCGCCTCAACCAGGTGTGAACGAGACGACTCAGAGAACAAGATATATCTAGATATGTATCAAATCAAATCAGATCGTACCGGCGCGTGGCACTCCTCAAAGACGCAGACGGAGAGCGCCTGGTTGGTGCTGCTGGCAGCCGCTGACTCATCAAAGTCGGCTGACGTGGCCTCGGAGGGCTTGGGGTTGAAAGCAACGCTCCAGAGGATGCCGAGGAATCCGAAGATGTAGAACATAGACTCCCACCCCAGTCGCTCGATTAGCACTGGCGCTGCTAGCAGGCTGAGAGGGGTTAGGTAGGGGAGCAAGAGGGGGGAGAGGTGAGCACAGGGAGAGCGGGGTGTAAGTAAGGGAACCCGAAGATGTAGAACATGGACTCCCACCCCAGACGCTCGATTAGCACTGGCGCTGCCAGTAGCCTGTGGGGGAAGAGGGGGGCAGGGGAAAGGGGGAAGAGTGGGGTGGGGTGAGAAAGGGGGCCCGAAGATGTAGAACATGGACAGTCTGTGGGGGACGAAGGGGGGATGAGGCGAGACAGGGGAAGAAAGAGGGTGAGGGAGGGTGGCTGAAGATGTTAAACAGCTCTTACCCCAGTTGCTCTATCAGCACTGGCGTTGCTAGCAGCATGAGTCACTCACTCCCACCCCCCCCCCCACCCCTTGCCTCCCCGCACTTACCCCACCATGCTTCCCACACATAACTCACTGAACAAAAAGCAAAGCCCACACTCTAAATGCACCGCCCCCCACAATCTTCTTCTCAACCCACTCACCCCCTGCCTTTCCTCAACCCACTGTTCGCCTCTCCCCGCTCACCCCTTGCCGTTCCCCCTTTCCCTCACCTCTCGCCTTTCCCCCTCCCCCCACCCCTCCCCACACTCACCCCACCACGCCTCCCACATTGAATCCGTTGAACAAAAATGCAATGCCACGCTCTTAATGCACCGCCTCCCACTGTCTTCCATGCAACCCCAACCACCCCTCGTCTTCCCCCCCCCCGCCCGTCATCTCAACCCCACGGCCCCTCCGTCTCCCCCCACTCACCCCACCACGCCTCTGACGTTGAACCCGTTGAAGACAAACGCAATGCCACGCGCGCGCTCCTCTGCTGGCATAGATCTGTCAAGGCACGATAGTGGGACGGACGCTCCCTCACCTCTCGCCTTTCCCCCTCCCCCCCCACCCCTCCCCCCACTCACCCCACCACGCCTCCCACGTTGAACCCGTTGAACACAAACGCAATGCCACGCGCGCGCTCCGCTGCTGGCATAGATCTGTGAAGGCACGAAAGAGGGACAGGCGAAAAGGAAGGAGGATGGGTGGACGGACAGGATGCAGCGCCGTGCGTGCGGGCGCTCCTTTGCATGGATGGATGTGCGCGCCCGCAGTAACGGCGTTGGAGGGAAGGAAAAAGAAGCAGACGGGGATGAGGCGGAGAGCTTAGGACGGGGAGGAGGAGAGGACGGACGAGTCCAGGGTGTGGAGCGGTGCAGTGCGGTCACAGCTCGGTTCTCACCTGGCGACGATGTCAGTAGCTGCTGGCGGAGCAACGCCCTCCCCGAATCCCACCTGCGCGCAGCAGACAGCAAGGGACCAAGGGAGCAGCGGAGCAGCAAACGTTTAGGGCGATAGTGAGGAGAGAGGATGGTTACACGGAGACTGGCGAGAGTTCGAGTAGCAGATGGGATGGGAACAGGAGCAGGAAGAAAACGAGAGGGAATAGCTACTGACTAGAAAGGGGAGGGGGAGGGAGAGTGGGAGGGAGCGAAGGGTGAGGTAAGTGGAAGGAGGAGAGTGATGAAGAGGACTTGGAGGAGGGTGGGCGAGGAGGAGGGAGAGAACCCATCGAAAGAGGGCGAGCTTTGAGGCGCCTCAAAATTAGGAGGGAGAGAAGCCATCGAAAGAGGGCGAGCTTTGAGGCGCCTCAAAATTAGGAGGGAGAGAAGCCATCGAAAGAGGGCGTTCATGGACTTACGGCAACACGTGAGAGGAGGAGGGAGGGGAGGAAGGCGGCAGCTGAGGGGATGGCGGCAGTGGCGATGGACCAGATGAGCACGCCCGCGCGCAGCATGCGCCTGAGATGGGTTGGTGGGGGATTGAGATGGGTGTAGGGCGGTGACAAGGATGGCAACACTGGCGATGGACCAGATGAGCACGCCCGCGCGCAGCATGCGCCTGAGATGGGTTGGTGGGGGATTGAGATAGGTGTAAGGCGGTGACAAGGATGGCAACAGTGGCGATGGACCAGATGAGCACGCCCGGGCGCAGCATGCGCCTGAGATGGGTTGGCCCGCCATGGGGACGAGGCCAAGGGAAAATTGGCATGGGGATGTTGGCATTGGGAACAAGACAAGGAAAGAACGTCAGCCGGGGTGTTGGACCAGATGAGCAGCTTGCTCCTAGTATGCGACTGGGATGGGTTGGTGCGGCATGGGGATGTGGATATGGGCATTGAATTATGTCATTGGGATGGGGGCGTGTTGTGAGGCGCGACGAGGCAACGAAGGGATGGCAGACGGAGCGACGGAACAGAAAAGCAGCCCGCATGCGACTGGGATGAGTAGAGCCGCAAGGGTGAGCTGGCAACCAATATAATAATCCAAGGTGTAACAGTTACGCACGTGCCGGTGAACTTTTGGCAGAGCCAGCCGGCGGGCAGCAGCGAGAGCGCGTAGCCCCAGTAGAAGGACGACTGCACCACGCCCACCGTCGTGGCGGACCACCCGAACTCGTGCGCCATCGGGATGATCGCGATGCTCAGATTCACCTGCGCGCGCGGGTGAGGGGGATTGGGGGAGGAGGAGGGGAAGGAGACCAAGGACGCGAGATGAGAGGAGCGAGCAGCAGGGAGCGAGATGAGAGGAGCGAGCAGCAGGGAGCGAGGCGAGAGGAGCGAGCAGCAGGGAGCGAGGTGAAAGGAACGCGCTGCACAAGGAAAGGTAAGAAACAATGTTGGCGCATTAGCCATGCTTTCGGTCATGTCCTGCGGGAAGCGAGAGATTATCACCGCAGTCATGATGCAGAGGAAGGGGCGAGGAGAGAAAATCACCTTATCCATGTTGCAGAGAACGAACGCCAGCGACGTACTAAAGATGACCCAGTACCGATCCGGCATGTCTTTAAGCGTTACTCTCAGCCGACCCAGCGCCGATGAAGCCGCTTCCGCATCGTCCCCGCCCGCTTCCCGCCTCCCTTGCAGCTCCTCCTCCACCGCTCCAGCTGCCGGTATGGTCGCCGCGCCGCTCGTCTGCCGACTCGTTTCGCGGGACGCAGGAGCGAAGCTTCCCGCCAGCTCCCCTTCCGCAGGTGTCGTTACGGCTGCCGAGGCGACTTGTCGCTGCTTCGACAAAGGCACGAGGCCGATCGGCCGAGTCTTAATCTCGTCGGGCTGCGCGCCGGGAGGCGACGCGGAATTCGCGTTATTCTGAGACGAAGCTCTGCACGAAGCCGGGAAGGAGGTCCTAGACGACGCGAACGTACGTTGAATGTAGCCGCGGTGAGCTTGAGCCGACGACGTTAAACAGAACCCGTCGCCGAGTCCCAACACCTGGTAACCACTAAGTGCTCCAGTCCGTCTTAGGCGAGAGGTGGGTGGAAGGCTTTGGGACTTTTCCGAGGTCGGGAGTCTATGCGAGGTTTCTAAGGTAGGGATCCCCGGTAGTTGACACGCCATTTCGCGAAAATTCAAGCGCGCTGATCGATTAATTTGCACTTGAAGGATCGTGGTGGAGTCTTACGCTAGCCTGTCACCATAACCAACTGGGCCCCAGGTGGGGAATGCACAAGGTTGCGTCCAGGCGATACTTATTCGAGGTAACGCTTCCAGGTGACTTTAGCGAGATGGAGAACGAAGAAAGCGGCTAAAGGAGCGGCGAACTGGCTGACAATGATAGCTTGCTATTCCAAGGACCTGTGACTCTGGAGCCGCTCCACGAGCTGTCAGCAGAAATAGCTTACTCAGCTTGATAGTCCTGGTTCACCTTTCCTTGTTTTCAACAGGAATGGTGGCTGACGTCGCACTGAGTTTGCTAGAGAAGACGGCTTCTGGGGAACTAACGCGCGTCACGGAGAGTGAGCAGAGCACAAGCTCGTGAGAGGCACGAAAGCTCTAGCGAAGCAAAGAGGAACTACGAGGTTCAGGCGGAGACTAAAACAAAAAAAGCTGAGCCTGAAGAAGTCCCGCCCGGCAGGGAGGGTGAGCTTGGGATACTGTACGTGGGTGGGTGAGTGGTCCGAGTTGGATTGGACCCTCGAGATTGACCACAAAGAAAGCCAGGGCAGGCGTGTGGGAAAGAGTTGTTTGGTGTGCGATTTGACGAAGATATATGCGAACGATTACCCGTTAAAGTGTAACGTGCTTGCGTTATCTTATTGGCTCAACTCGCTGTCACGACGGAGATTGCGGTTCCTGACGAAGTTCGCCGACCCGATTGTCCTTGCTGTGGCTCAGAAAGCAAGCAAAGGGGTGCTGCCCGCAAACGAACAATGTCCACGTGCATCCAGCAGAAGCGCGCCAACTGTGTGAATCAAGGAACTCGAGGCCGATGAAGACCAATCCCCGATCGGCGTTTAGGGATATGCTGCCCGTGGTCTGTCCGCGCTTCACGGGCAAATGGAAGCAATGGCATTCCAGTGCGCTCCGGAGAACAGTAGGTCTCATGCTATGCCCCATGGTAGAATTGAGGTATTATTTATGAGCCACTTCGTTTTTGTGAAAACACTCGGAAGTTCGCTTCTTTGTTGCAAACAAACAGAGGAAGGTAAGACCTTGGGAATTGATTTTTTTGAATTTCCCGCCACCGCAAGCAAATGTTCCCACACCACCTCGCCACATGCTTCCAAGGCTCCATCGGTCATATTCTGCTTCCAACTCCAAGGTCTCGAATCCCGAAGTTCATTACCCTGGCTCCCTACTCAGGGCCCTGAGATTGCCTCCACTTGTACTTGCTTTCTGTATAAGATTTGCTTCCGTGTGAATTTCGCGCCTTTGGATGTCCAGCGCAAGCGCAATATCAATACGTGATAAGGACACGACGAGTCTGATCGATAGGTGCCGTCGTAGAAGCGACAAATAGTTCGGGCGCAACGGATCAACGTTAGTTTCCACTCTCACTACGAGCTATGCCGGTGTACAAAATATGTTCGATACCCGTGTCGTTTCCATACGAGGCGTATGAGTGCCAGATTGTGTACATGACTCAAGTCATGCAGTCTCTCCTTCAGGTGCGAAAACCTCCGTTCTCCTCCTCTGCTTTTCTCCTCCGCCTTTTCATCACCTGCGTCCTTGACCCTGCGAGCGTCGAAGCCACGCCCATTCTGTTGCATGCTGTCTCTGTCAAGACCGGCGCCGTTACCTTGCCTTACCGTCTCTTTCGAAGGCCGTTTTAAAACCCCATCCATCACCTCGTCGCCCTCACCGCTCCCTCTTGGTCCGCAACCGTTGCACCCTCCTCGTCCTTCGCGTTCTCCTCGCTATCGCGCTGCCCTCTGTAACGCAACAGCCTCTGCTAGTATCTGACCCCATGCAATCTAAATTTCCGGAAATAATGCACTTTTTTTTCCGCGCAGGGGGGGAACGGGCTGCTCGAATCGCCGACGGGGACGGGGAAGACGCTTTGCCTGCTCTGCGCGTCCCTGGCGTGGCAGTCCAGTCTCATTCGGGCAAAGAAGCGGCGGGAAGCGGAGCAACGGAAAGCCGTGCGCGAGGGGTGGGGGACGGTGCGCCAACCGAGCCAGGGGGGGGAAGACGGGGGATGCGCAACGGTGCGCCTGTCGCAGGGGTCGCGTGAATCGTCGCAGGGTTCGCAGGGGATGGGGTCGCAGGGGATGGGGTCGCAAAGGATGGGGAAGCAGCAAGGAGCCGCTGGGATGGGAGGCGCTGAACGCGGCGGGGGGAGCCAGAAGGGGGAAAACTGTGGGGCGCGGAACGGTTTGCCAGGGGGAATTGGCGGAGTATGTCCAGCAGGGGGGGAAGACGGGGTGGGCGGAGAGGAAGAGGAGCGCATCCCCACGATTATCTATGCGTCGCGCACGCATGCGCAGCTGCAGCAAGTGGTGCGAGAGCTGAAAGCGACCACGTACCGGTGAGTGCAAGGGGAGGCGCTTCAAAAGCTTCTCTAATCCCTCTACCACCGCCACCTCTCCCTCTCTCCTTTTCCCTTATTGCCAATCAGTCCGCACATGTGCATTCAGGGGTCACGAGCACGCACATCTGTGCATAAGAAGGTGGACAAGCTGGAAGGCAAGGCGCAGAACCAACCTCTCTCCCACCTCCTTCTCTCCTTTTCCTTTCTTGTCAACCAGGCAGCGCATGTGCATCCTGGGTTCAAGGGAGCACACGTGTGTGCACAGGAAGGTGTCCAAGCTGAAGGGCAAGGCGCAGAACCACACGTGCAGGCAGCTGGTCAAACGCCGCAAGTGCCACCACAACCTCATGGCCGCAGGTCAGGCTGTTGCTTTGTTAGGTGCCTTGAAAATTGTGTCAAACGCCGCAAGTGCCACCACAACCTCATGGCCGCAGGTCAGGCTGTTGCTTTGTTAAGTGCCTTGAAGATCGTGTCAAACCGCACAAGTGCCATCACAACCTCATGGGAGCAGGCCAGGCGAGGCCGCTGCAACCACATGGTGAATACTCCTACCTCCCTTTCGTTTTCCCCCTTCCTCTTCCTTTCTGTACTTCTCCCCTCCCTCCTCTTTCCCTTCCCTCTTTTTCACATTCTCCTGCTTCCTCTTTTTCCTCTCCTAGCCACTGAACGCATCAGAATGACAGGAGCTGAAAGCCACGTTTTTCTACCTCCCCAATCTTGCTGTATGCCCACTACATTTCCTCTCTGTGTCACTTTCATTCCATGTATGGACGAACCCAAACAAGCCATCTGAGCCCTACAGCACCTCCTCCGTCCCTCTCCTCACCTCAGAGCTCTACAGTGTCTATCTACTCCCCCTAATTCCCCACCCCACCTCTCCTCCCAGACTATGTAAGAACAAACCCGCAGAAGGCGTCAGAGCCGCATGACATTGAAGACCTCGTCAAGCTGGGCCAGACGGAAGGACCGTGAGTCTCCTTCCCTCCTCCTCTTCCCTGCTCCTCACCCCAGAGCTCTATGGTATCTCTCCACCCCCTCCGTTTCTTCCTCTCTCCCCCCAGACTATGTAAGAACGAACCCGCAGAAGGCATCAGAGCCGCATGACATTGAAGACCTGGTCAAGCTGGGGCAGACGGAAGGACCGTGAGTCTTATTCCCTCCACCTCTCCTCTCCCCAGGCATACGCTTCCTTTCTCGCCACAGACACGACAAACCGTGTCTCAGCAGCTATCAGAATGCATCTCCAGGTGTTCTTTACATCCACCCAGAATACGTCTCCCACCCTTGGGCCCCATGCCGTTCCTTTCTTGCCACACACAATTGGTTTCTCAGCTTGTCCAGGTGTAGAATACTGGAGTCTTTCTCAGACCCTAACTTTCCCTGAAAAAATGTTTTTTTTTTTTTTTTTTTTTTTTTTTTTCTTGTTTAAGACCTTACTGTCGCTTGCTCTTACCTCTCCCCACCCCATTGATGCCCCTTCCATGCATGTGGCACTCCGCATCCATCCCTGCCCTTTGGCCCCACCAGCTGCCCCTACTACGTCTCGCGGGGATTTCTCGAGAAGGCGGAGATAATCTTCATGCCGTACAACTACGTGCTGGACGGCGATTACCGCAAGAACCTCAAAGTGCTGGAGATGAGAGGAGCCGTGCTCATATTCGACGAGGCGCACAACCTGGTGGGTTCTCTTTCATTCCTTGCCCTAACTGCCTGCTACACCCGCACAGTCCACCACGTGGCTCAAAAGCATGAGTACCGCAAGAACCTCAAAGTGCTGGAGATGAGAGGAGCCGTGCTCATATTCGATGAGGCGCACAACCTGGTGGGTTCTCTTTCCTCTCCCACTTTCCCTTCTCTCCCCCTTTCCCTCCTCCCTCAACTTCCATCTCCTCCTTAACGCAAAACCTGGTGAGTTCTCCGTCACTCATTGCCCCGGCCGCTGCCCGCCCAGTCCACACACGGCTCAAAAGCATGAGTATCGAAAGAACCTCTCAAAGTGCTAAGGCTGAATCCCTCTCCTCTCCCTCTCTCGACTCCCACTCTCTTCATGCCTGTGTGCTCCCAGGAACGCCTGCTAGCAGATCAAGCCTCCGTGCAGCTCTCCTCGTCCCACCCTCACCTCGTCCACTCCTCCCTCCGCCCCCGCCCCCCTCCCCTTACCCGTGTGCTCCCAGGAACGCCTGCTGGCAGATCAAGCCTCCGTGCAGCTCTCCTCGTCCCACCCTCACCTCGTCCACTCCTCCCTCCCCCTCCGCCCCCCTCCCCTTACCTGTGTGTTCTCAGGAACGCCTGCTAGCAGATCAAGCCTCTGTGCAACTCTCCACGTCGCTCCTCTCCGCCTGTGCAGCTGAAGCAGCCAAGTGCGCCGCCATTGCCACTGCCCGCCTTGCCTGTCCACCCTCCAGCAGCCAATTTTCGGAGGGGGGTGATGGGGGAATGGGGGGCGGTGGCAAAGGGGGACGGGGAGGAAGAGGGGGCAGAGGAGGCGGGAGGGGAGGGGGAAGAGGAAAGGATGTGATGGTTGGAGGGATTGGTTATGGGGATGGTGGAGGAGGAAGAGGAGGAGGCGGAAGAGGAGGGGGAGGAAGAGGAGGGGGAGGAGGAGAAGGGGGAGGAGGGGTAGTGGGGGAAGTGCAGCCGGACACGTTCAGCATCCTGCAGGGACTGCTGCTGGCGATGGAGAGAAAGGTCCTTGACTTCCCCATGCACAGCTTCGTGCATGGCTTTGCCGTCGCTGCCCGCACTGCTGCTGCCGGCGGTGCTGGTGCTGGCGCTGCTGGTGCTGGCGCTGCAAGCGCAGCAGCTAGTGCTGCTGCTGGTAGCACTGGTGGAGCTGTTGGCGCTGCAGGGGCCGGTGCTGGTGCAGGGAGGCCCGGGCTGAATGGGAGCGAGTGGAAGAAAGGGCGGTTGGTGGGGGGAGGCGAGGAGGTGGGGGTGGCGTTCCCAGGGAGCTACATCTACGAGTTCCTGGCACAGCTCAACGTCACCCATGCCACCGTGTTCTCACTGCTCGCCACTGTACAGCATGCGCTGCTGCTTCTCACCGATGGTACGTGATGCTTGTGGGTGAGCGCTGGTAGTGGCGTTCCCAGAGAGGGAGGTGTACATCATATACGAGTTCCTGGCACAGCTCAACATCACTCATGCCACCGTGTTCTCACTGCTCGCCACTGTACAGCATGCGCTGCTGCTTCTCACTGATGGTGCGTCATGCTTGTTGGTGAGCGATGGTAGTGGCGCTCCCAGGGAGGGAGGTACATCACTTACGAGTTCCTGGCGCAGCTCAACGTCACCCATGTCTCCGTGATGTCCCTGCTCGCCACTGTACAGCATGCGCTGCTGCTTCTCACTGACGGTGCGTGTGTGGTACTACCTGAGGTGTGCCCCCATCAGGTTACTAGCTCTCAGGGCACCCATTCTGCACCGTGTCAAAACAAGATAGCCCTAATGTAACGCATGCACATGTGGCCAATCACATGCATTTGTAGCCAATTACATGGTTGGCAGAAGTTTTTTTCTCTATTTCCATGCTCTGTCTCACCGTATCCTTTCTTCCTTCTTCCGCTCGTTCCTGTGTCTTCCCCACTTTCTGCTCTCTGCTCTCCGCTCTCCGCTCTCCACTCTCCCCACCACCTCATTCTCAAGCAGATGCTGCAGCGTTGTCACCAGGCGAAGCAGAGGCAGGCGGTGCAGCAGAGGCAGGCGGGGAGCAGGGGAAGGGGGGCACGGAGGGAGGGGCATCAGAGCGAGGAGCAGGGACCCCGGCGATGTCGTTCCGACTGGAGCAGCTGTGGGCTGCGCTGCAGCTCATCTTCCCTCCCACTGGGCCCACCTCCCACGCCAGTTCCTTCAAGGTGCTGCGTTGAGCTAGGCCGAAGGTAGCATGATGCAACCCTCCTTGGTATACTAAAAGTATGAGTCGATTCAAAAACCTTGACTAATGAGCTCATTCCGAGCCGAGGAAAAAAAATCGAAGCTGAAGGTGAAGGTGAAGGTGAAGGTGAAGGTGATTAGTACGATGCACTTCTCCTTGATGTCCACTCCAGGCCCACAGTGGTTCAGATGCTCAACTGGTGGTGCTTCAACCAACATCCCTTTCGCCATCCATCACTTGTCATGCTCCCACCACCCCCCCCCCCCCTCCCACACAGGTGTGCATAACAGAGCACAAGGTGAAGGCAAGGAGAAACGCGTCAGTGGTCGCTCCATCAGTGGTTCGAACGCTCAACTGGTGGTGCTTCGACCCGGGCCTTGTGATGCAGCAGATTCGAGCGCTGGGGGTGCGATCGATGCTGCTCACCAGTGGCACCCTCTCCCCTCTGCAGCCCTACGCTTCAGAGCTTAGAGTGTGAGTGGGTGGTGGGTGCAGCGCGTGTATTCACCTTGTGATATGCAGTGGTGCGTTAGCTTCAGGCCTCGTGATGCAGCAGATTTGGGCGCTGGGGATGCGATCCAAGCTGCTCACCAGTGGGACCCTCTCCCCTCTACAGCCCTACGCGTCTGAGCTCCGAGTGTGAGTGGGTGGTGGGTGCAGCGCATGTCAAGTCCGCTGGTAGACTCTGTTGTGAATGCGGGGTGCTGCAGAGCATGCGAGTGAGTGAGAGGTGCAGTGCAGTGCCTGACTGGGCATGTCTGAGTGAGAGGTGAGTGAGAGGTGCAGTGCCTGCCTGGGCATGTCTCCAGCCATCTTATAGCTAGAAACACCATTCTCTTTCCCCCTTTCTCCCAAACTCCCACCCCTTCCCCCCCATCCCCACCACTCGTAAGCAGCCCCTTCCAGCAGCAGTTAGAGAACAGCCATGCGATCAGGCAGGAGCAAGTGTGGGCGGGAGTGCTGCCAGTGGTGCTATTGATAGGAACACCCCACACCCTCCTTCCCCAAGCTCTTGCCCCTCCTTCCTCCCTCACCCCATCCCCATTACTAATGAGCAGCCCCTTTCAGCAGCAGCTAGAGAACAGCCATGTGATCAGCCAGGAGCAAGTGTGGGCAGCAGGGCTGTTGGTGGCAATACCAATCTCTCCCTCCCATTCCCTTCCCCCAAATTTTTGCAGGCCCTTTCAGCAGCAGCTAGAGAACAGCCATGTGATCAGGCAGGAGCAGGTGTGGGCGGGAGTGCTGCCAGTGGGGCCGTCAGGGGTGGCCCTCAACTCGGGCTTTAAGACGCGCTCCCAGCTTGACTATCTGCACGACATGGGCTCCGCTATAGGTGTGCCTCGCTATAAGCGTGCTTCGTTATACGTATGCTTCGTTATAGCGTGCCTCGTTCTTGGTGTGCTTTGCTTTGCTTCACTGTCTTTTGTTATACCAGTGATCTGACGTAACGTAAGCATGCTCACCCTTCCCCTTCTTCTTCCCCTGCAACTCCCCTTCCCTTCCCCTTCCTTCTCCTTTTCCCTGTGCCGCCCACAGTCAACATATGCCGCATCGTCCCGGGCGGCGTGCTTGTCTTCTTCCCATCCTACTCATGCATGGACTCGTCAATACAAGCCTGGCAGCTGCCTGTGCGTCTGCTCTCCTCACCTCCCTCACATCTCCCTCACACCTCCCTCACAGACCTCTATTAAACCCCTCCCTCAAACTTTCTCACATCTCCGTCACACCGCCCTCACACCTTCTCTCTCCCATTCAGCCACAGCAGTATTCACTGCAACCGATTTCATCATGTTTCTCTCAGAAAGCTTGTGAACTGGCTGAGGATTTACCTTCTTCACTGCCTTTCTCTATAACCTCATGTTTCTTTCCAGAACCATGGGTGAAAATCATACTGCTTTGCTGTCAATTACCTCTAGCCTGCCGTGTTTTGAGTCGACTCAAAACACGAGTCGACTCAAAACACGAGTCGACTCAAAACACGACCAATTACCTCTAGCCTGCCAATTATTCTTCTGCTACCAATCACCCATCAATCAACATATCATCCTTCTCCTGCCTGTCATCCTATCATAGCATCTTTCTGCTTGTCCTTCCTTCATCACCTCCTTCCTACTCACGCCCCGTCATCCCAGCCTGCAGGGCGGCACGATTCGGCAGCATTATCGGTGTGGCAGCGCATCGGCATGCAGAAGCAGGCAGTAGTGGAGCCACGGGACTCGGCACTGCTTGGCGAAGCTAGGGAGGTAGGTCTGATGAGGCACGAGAACGTGTGCCCGAGAGTGACCATAGGCGTGCCGTGAGCATAAATGCATGTGCACATCGGCATGCAGAAGCAAGCAGTGGTGGAGCCACGGGACTCGGTGCTGCTGGCTTAGGCAAGAAAGGTACATTTGATGAGGGCGAGAAACATTCTGTGGTTACTTAAGACGGGATGGGGCATGGGGCAGCGAGTGCTTGTGCGTGGATCAAGAAACACTCGCTGGCTTGTGTCCCCCCTCCTCACGCCTCCTCCTTGTAAGGGGTCCTGCTTAGCGAAGCCAGGGAGGTAGGTCTGATGATGAGGGACATTTTGGGTACTGCGGGATGGGGCATGCGGCAGCGTATGCTTGTGCATGGATCAAGAAACACTCGCTGGCTTGTGTCCCCCCTCCTCACGCCTCCTCCTTGTAAGGGGTCCTGCTTAGCGAAGCCAGGGAGGTAGGTCTGATGATGAGGGACATTTTGGGTACTGCGGGATGGGGCATGCGGCAGCGTATGCTTGTGCGTGGATCAAGAAACACTCGCTGGCTTGTGTCCCCCCTCCTCACGCCTCCTCCTTGCAAGGGGTCCTGCTTAGCGAAGCCAGGGAGGTAGGTCTGATGATGAGGGACATTTTGGGTACTGCGGGATGGGGCATGCGGCAGCGTATGCTTGTGCGTGGATCAAGAAACACTCGCTGGCTTGTGTCCCCCCTCCTCACGCCTCCTCCTTGCAAGGGGTCCTGCTTAGCGAAGCCAGGGAGGTAGGTCTGATGATGAGGGACATTTTGGGTACTGCGGGATGGGGCATGCGGCAGCGTATGCTTGTGCATGGATCAAGAAACACTCGCTGGCTTGTGTCCCCCCTCCTCACGCCTCCTCCTTGCAAGGGGTCCTGCTTAGCGAAGCCAGGGAGGTAGGTCTGATGATGAGGGACATTTTGGGTACTGCGGGATGGGGCATGCGGCAGCGTATGCTTGTGCATGGATCAAGAAACACTCGCTGGCTTGTGTCCCCCCTCCTCACGCCTCCTCCTTGTAAGGGGTCCTGCTTAGCGAAGCCAGGGAGGTAGGTCTGATGATGAGGGACATTTTGGGTACTGCGGGATGGGGCATGCGGCAGCGTATGCTTGTGCATGGATCAAGAAACACTCGCTGGCTTGTGTCCCCCCTCCTCACGCCTCCTCCTTGTAAGGGGTCCTGCTTAGCGAAGCCAGGGAGGTAGGTCTGATGATGAGGGACATTTTGGGTACTGCGGGATGGGGCATGCGGCAGCGTATGCTTGTGCATGGATCAAGAAACACTCGCTGGCTTGTGTCCCCCCTCCTCACGCCTCCTCCTTGTAAGGGGTCCTGCTTAGCGAAGCCAGGGAGGTAGGTCTGATGATGAGGGACATTTTGGGTACTGCGGGATGGGGCATGCGGCAGCGTATGCTTGTGCATGGATCAAGAAACACTCGCTGGCTTGTGTCCCCCCTCCTCACGCCTCCTCCTTGTAAGGGGTCCTGCTTAGCGAAGCCAGGGAGGTAGGTCTGATGATGAGGGACATTTTGGGTACTGCGGGATGGGGCATGCGGCAGCGTATGCTTGTGCGTGGATCAAGAAACACTCGCTGGCTTGTGTCCCCCCTCCTCACGCCTCCTCATTGCAAGGAGCCCTTTGCCCCTTCTGTCTTTCCCTCTCACCCTGTTCCTCACGCCTGTTCCTCACGCTTGTTCCTGACATGTGTGCCTCAAGGCTCGTCACGCATTGGCGTTTTCTGTCCCCTGCTTTGTTCTCGCTGTCGCAAGCCTCCTCACTCTTGTCCGTTCGACCCTGTCCAACCCCTCTTCGCCCATCCCCACCCATCAGGACTATGTGAGGAAGCTAGAGGAGGAGGGGTCAAAGGGCGCTGTGCTGTTTGCCGTGTGCAGGGGCAAGGTGAGCACATGCTTTCGGAAATACCGTTTTTGACGTTTCCAGGAGAAGGAATCAGATGGGAATCAGCTTCTTAGTTCCCATTGTTTTGTGATTGCCATGTTTTCTTTTTCTTTTTTATCATTACTAGCTGGACAGGGCATGCATGTACAAGTTCACAATATGCATGCATGATGTGTGTGTAGATAATGTCTGCATGGATCTATGCATGCGTTCAGGTCCTTTTGCGCCCATGCATTCGTTCAGTCTAAGCGCAAGCACTTGTGAATTGCCGCACGCAATCCCTAAATTCCTGAGCAGGTGAGCGAGGGAATCGACTTTGCCGACCATCTGTCCCGTGCTGTCGTCATCACAGGCATCCCATATGCACAGCAGCTCAGCCCACAGGTGAGACGAGGAATAGCATTTGCCGACCATCTGTCCCGTGCTGTCGTCATCACTGGCATCCCATATGCACAGCAACTCAGCCCGCAGGTGAGCTGTGAGCCAGGGAATAGCTTTTGCCACCACGTGTCGTCATCACGGGCATCCCGTATGCACAGCAACTCAGCCCGCAGGTCAGTCTTGCTGCGGTGCCTTCGACCGTATGTGCTTCGAAACCAGCTGTGTTTAGTATCAATCTTCTGGGTGCTAGCGAAGTCTGCTTTTGAGTCGACCAAAAATTACCTTCGTTCGCTCTCAACAAGAAATTTCCTTTCGTTTTTTATGCAGTGAATGCATTTACACCATTTCCCTCTCTCCCTAAATATATATCCCACAATCAGGTGGGAAAGAGTATCTGGACGAGCGGGTCACAGCCTTTTGAGTCGACTCAAAAGTCACCTCGTATCTGGACGAGCGGGTCACGGCCCACCAGCACCAGCACTGCCAACACCAAGCTATTATTCTCTTCTGTACATCTTTTCGTATCAGATGTTCTTTCCTCGTTTGTCTCTTTCTCCCTTGCTACCCCACCACCAGGTGGTGCTGAAGAAGGAGTATCTAGACGAGCGGGTCACAGCCCAGCAGCACCACCTGTACCAACATCACCACCTGTACCAGGCACTACGAAACAATGCTTGCTTTTCTCTTTCTCCCTTGCTACCCCACCACCAGGTGGTGCTGAAGAAGGAGTATCAAATACCTGGATGAGCGTGTCACAGCCCACAGCACCACCAGCAAACAGTTCTGATTCTTACATCATACTTTCTCAAGCGATCTTTCCATGTTTGTTTCTCTCAACTCTATCCCACCACCAGGTGGTGCTGAAGAAAGAGTATCTGGACGAGCGTGTCACAACCCACCAGCACCACCAAACAATGCTTGTTTGTCTCTTTCTCTCTTGCTATCCCGCCATCAGGTGGTGCTCAAGAAGGAGTATCTGGACGAACGGGTGACGGCCCACCAGCACCACCTGTACCAGCATCCAGACGCCTTCGCCTCCAACCCTGCCTCCATTGTAAGCACACGTGCTGGTTAGTTGCTATGCCGCCCAGCGTGAATATGCTACAACGCCAGCAAGCCTCGACCATGCTGGTTAGGTGCTATGTTATGGCTGTTTTTAGATAGCTGTCTTTAGCGGCCAGTCGGGCAGGCAGATCCCTCTTCTGCCTCCTCTGCCTCCCCGCCTGCCGCCTTTCGTCCGTTCCACCCCACCAGTCGCCAGTATCAGGAGCGCAGTGGTACACGCTCGACGCCATACGAGCCGTGAACCAGACAGTGGGGCGAGTGATTCCTCTCTCTCCTCTTCCACCTCCCCTCCTTCCTCTCCTGCCCCTCGCCAATCCACCAGTCGCCGGTATCAGGAGCGCAGTGGTACACGCTCGACGCCATACGAGCCGTGAACCAGGCAGTGGGGCGAGTGATTCCTCTCTCTCCTCTTCCACCTCCCCTCCTTCCTCTCCTGCCCCTCGCCAATCCACCAGTCGCCGGTATCAGGAGCGCAGTGGTACACGCTCGACGCCATACGAGCCGTGAACCAGACAGTGGGGCGAGTGATTCCTCTCTCTCCTCTTCCACCTCCCCTCCTTCCTCTCCTGCCCCTCGCCAATCCACCAGTCGCCGGTATCAGGAGCGCAGTGGTACACGCTCGACGCCATACGAGCCGTGAACCAGGCAGTGGGGCGAGTGATTCCTCTCTCTCCTCTTCCACCTCCCCTCCTTCCTCTCCTGCCCCTCGCCAATCCACCAGTCGCCGGTATCAGGAGCGCAGTGGTACACGCTCGACGCCATACGGGCCGTGAACCAGGCAGTGGGGCGAGTGATTCCTCTCTCTCCTCTTCCACCTCCCCTCCTTCCTCTCCTGCCCCTCGCCAATCCACCAGTCACCGGTATCAGGAGCGCAGTGGTACACGCTCGACGCCATACGACCCGTGAACCAGGCAGTGGGGCGAGTGATTCCTCTCTCTCCTCTTCCACCTCCCCTCCTTCCTCTCCTGCCCCTCGCCAATCCACCAGTCGCCGGTATCAGGAGCGCAGTGGTACACGCTCGACGCCATACGGGCCGTGAACCAGGCAGTGGGGCGAGTGATTCCTCTCTCTCCTCTTCCACCTCCCCTCCTTCCTCTCCTGCCCCTCGCCAATCCACCAGTCGCCGGTATCAGGAGCGCAGTGGTACACGCTCGACGCCATACGGGCCGTGAACCAGGCAGTGGGGCGAGTGATTCCTCTCTCTCCTCTTCCACCTCCCCTCCTTCCTCTCCTGCCCCTCGCCAATCCACCAGTCGCCGGTATCAGGAGCGCAGTGGTACACGCTCGACGCCATACGGGCCGTGAACCAGGCAGTGGGGCGAGTGATTCCTCTCTCTCCTCTTCCACCTCCCCTCCTTCCTCTCCTGCCCCTCGCCAATCCACCAGTCGCCGGTATCAGGAGCGCAGTGGTACACGCTCGACGCCATACGGGCCGTGAACCAGGCAGTGGGGCGAGTGATTCCTCTCTCTCCTCTTCCACCTCCCCTCCTTCCTCTCCTGCCCCTCGCCAATCCACCAGTCGCCGGTATCAGGAGCGCAGTGGTACACGCTCGACGCCATACGAGCCGTGAACCAGGCAGTGGGGCGAGTGATTCCTCTCTCTCCTCTTCCACCTCCCCTCCTTCCTCTCCTGCCCCTCGCCAATCCACCAGTCGCCGGTATCAGGAGCGCAGTGGTACACGCTCGACGCCATACGGGCCGTGAACCAGGCAGTGGGGCGAGTGATTCCTCTCTCTCCTCTTCCACCTCCCCTCCTTCCTCTCCTGCCCCTCGCCAATCCACCAGTCACCGGTATCAGGAGCGCAGTGGTACACGCTCGACGCCATACGAGCCGTGAACCAGGCAGTGGGGCGAGTGATTCCTCTCTCTCCTCTTCCACCTCCCCTCCTTCCTCTCCTGCCCCTCGCCAATCCACCAGTCGCCGGTATCAAGAGCGCAGTGGTACACGCTCGACGCCATACGGGCCGTGAACCAGGCAGTGGGGCGAGTGATTCCTCTCTCTCCTCTTCCACCTCCCCTCCTTCCTCTCCTGCCCCTCGCCAATCCACCAGTCGCCGGTATCAGGAGCGCAGTGGTACACGCTCGACGCCATACGAGCCGTGAACCAGGCAGTGGGGCGAGTGATTCCTCTCTCTCCTCTTCCACCTCCCCTCCTTCCTCTCCTGCCCCTCGCCAATCCACCAGTCGCCGGTATCAGGAGCGCAGTGGTACACGCTCGACGCCATACGAGCCGTGAACCAGGCAGTGGGGCGAGTGATTCCTCTCTCTCCTCTTCCACCTCCCCTCCTTCCTCTCCTGCCCCTCGCCAATCCACCAGTCGCTGGTATCAGGAGCGCAGTGGTACACGCTCGACGCCATACGGGCCGTGAACCAGGCAGTGGGGCGAGTGATTCCTCTCTCTCCTCTTCCACCTCCCCTCCTTCCTCTCCTGCCCCTCGCCAATCCACCAGTCGCCGGTATCAGGAGCGCAGTGGTACACGCTCGACGCCATACGAGCCGTGAACCAGGCAGTGGGGCGAGTGATTCCTCTCTCTCCTCTTCCACCTCCCCTCCTTCCTCTCCTGCCCCTCGCCAATCCACCAGTCGCCAGTATCAGGAGCGCAGTGGTACACGCTCGACGCCATACGGGCCGTGAACCAGGCAGTGGGGCGAGTGATTCCTCTCTCTCCTCTTCCACCTCCCCTCCTTCCTCTCCTGCCCCTCTCCAATCCACCAGTCGCCGGTATCAGGAGCGCAGTGGTACACGCTCGACGCCATACGAGCCGTGAACCAGGCAGTGGGGCGAGTGATTCCTCTCTCTCCTCTTCCACCTCCCCTCCTTCCTCTCCTGCCCCTCGCCAATCCACCAGTCGCCGGTATCAGGAGCGCAGTGGTACACGCTCGACGCCATACGGGCCGTGAACCAGGCAGTGGGGCGAGTGATTCCTCTCTCTCCTCTTCCACCTCCCCTCCTTCCTCTCCTGCCCCTCGCCAATCCACCAGTCGCCGGTATCAGGAGCGCAGTGGTACACGCTCGACGCCATACGGGCCGTGAACCAGGCAGTGGGGCGAGTGATTCCTCTCTCTCCTCTTCCACCTCCCCTCCTTCCTCTCCTGCCCCTCGCCAATCCACCAGTCGCCGGTATCAGGAGCGCAGTGGTACACGCTCGACGCCATACGAGCCGTGAACCAGGCAGTGGGGCGAGTGATTCCTCTCTCTCCTCTTCCACCTCCCCTCCTTCCTCTCCTGCCCCTCGCCAATCCACCAGTCGCCGGTATCAGGAGCGCAGTGGTACACGCTCGACGCCATACGAGCCGTGAACCAGGCAGTGGGGCGAGTGATTCCTCTCTCTCCTCTTCCACCTCCCCTCCTTCCTCTCCTGCCCCTCGCCAATCCACCAGTCGCCGGTATCAGGAGCGCAGTGGTACACGCTCGACGCCATACGAGCCGTAAACCAGGCAGTGGGGCGAGTGATTCCTCTCTCTCCTCTTCCACCTCCCCTCCTTCCTCTCCTGCCCCTCGCCAATCCACCAGTCGCCGGTATCAGGAGCGCAGTGGTACACGCTCGACGCCATACGAGCCGTGAACCAGGCAGTGGGGCGAGTGATTCCTCTCTCTCCTCTTCCACCTCCCCTCCTTCCTCTCCTGCCCCTCGCCAATCCACCAGTCGCCGGTATCAGGAGCGCAGTGGTACACGCTCGACGCCATACGAGCCGTAAACCAGGCAGTGGGGCGAGTGATTCCTCTCTCTCCTCTTCCACCTCCCCTCCTTCCTCTCCTGCCCCTCGCCAATCCACCAGTCGCCGGTATCAGGAGCGCAGTGGTACACGCTCGACGCCATACGAGCCGTAAACCAGGCAGTGGGGCGAGTGATTCCTCTCTCTCCTCTTCCACCTCCCCTCCTTCCTCTCCTGCCCCTCGCCAATCCACCAGTCGCCAGTATCAGGAGCGCAGTGGTACACGCTCGACGCCATACGGGCCGTGAACCAGGCAGTGGGGCGAGTGATTCCTCTCTCTCCTCTTCCACCTCCCCTCCTTCCTCTCCTGCCCCTCGCCAATCCACCAGTCGCCGGTATCAGGAGCGCAGTGGTACACGCTCGACGCCATACGGGCCGTGAACCAGGCAGTGGGGCGAGTGATTCCTCTCTCTCCTCTTCCACCTCCCCTCCTTCCTCTCCTGCCCCTCGCCAATCCACCAGTCGCCGGTATCAGGAGCGCAGTGGTACACGCTCGACGCCATACGAGCCGTGAACCAGGCAGTGGGGCGAGTGATTCCTCTCTCTCCTCTTCCACCTCCCCTCCTTCCTCTCCTGCCCCTCGCCAATCCACCAGTCGCCAGTATCAGGAGCGCAGTGGTACACGCTCGACGCCATACGGGCCGTGAACCAGGCAGTGGGGCGAGTGATTCCTCTCTCTCCTCTTCCACCTCCCCTCCTTCCTCTCCTGCCCCTCTCCAATCCACCAGTCGCCGGTATCAGGAGCGCAGTGGTACACGCTCGACGCCATACGAGCCGTGAACCAGGCAGTGGGGCGAGTGATTCCTCTCTCTCCTCTTCCACCTCCCCTCCTTCCTCTCCTGCCCCTCGCCAATCCACCAGTCGCCGGTATCAGGAGCGCAGTGGTACACGCTCGACGCCATACGGGCCGTGAACCAGGCAGTGGGGCGAGTGATTCCTCTCTCTCCTCTTCCACCTCCCCTCCTTCCTCTCCTGCCCCTCGCCAATCCACCAGTCGCCGGTATCAGGAGCGCAGTGGTACACGCTCGACGCCATACGGGCCGTGAACCAGGCAGTGGGGCGAGTGATTCCTCTCTCTCCTCTTCCACCTCCCCTCCTTCCTCTCCTGCCCCTCGCCAATCCACCAGTCGCCGGTATCAGGAGCGCAGTGGTACACGCTCGACGCCATACGAGCCGTGAACCAGGCAGTGGGGCGAGTGATTCCTCTCTCTCCTCTTCCACCTCCCCTCCTTCCTCTCCTGCCCCTCGCCAATCCACCAGTCGCCGGTATCAGGAGCGCAGTGGTACACGCTCGACGCCATACGAGCCGTGAACCAGGCAGTGGGGCGAGTGATTCCTCTCTCTCCTCTTCCACCTCCCCTCCTTCCTCTCCTGCCCCTCGCCAATCCACCAGTCGCCGGTATCAGGAGCGCAGTGGTACACGCTCGACGCCATACGAGCCGTAAACCAGGCAGTGGGGCGAGTGATTCCTCTCTCTCCTCTTCCACCTCCCCTCCTTCCTCTCCTGCCCCTCGCCAATCCACCAGTCGCCGGTATCAGGAGCGCAGTGGTACACGCTCGACGCCATACGAGCCGTAAACCAGGCAGTGGGGCGAGTGATTCCTCTCTCTCCTCTTCCACCTCCCCTCCTTCCTCTCCTGCCCCTCGCCAATCCACCAGTCGCCAGTATCAGGAGCGCAGTGGTACACGCTCGACGCCATACGGGCCGTGAACCAGGCAGTGGGGCGAGTGATTCCTCTCTCTCCTCTTCCACCTCCCCTCCTTCCTCTCCTGCCCCTCGCCAATCCACCAGTCACCGGTATCAGGAGCGCAGTGGTACACGCTCGACGCCATACGAGCCGTGAACCAGGCAGTGGGGCGAGTGATTCCTCTCTCTCCTCTTCCACCTCCCCTCCTTCCTCTCCTGCCCCTCGCCAATCCACCAGTCGCCGGTATCAGGAGCGCAGTGGTACACGCTCGACGCCATACGAGCCGTAAACCAGGCAGTGGGGCGAGTGATTCCTCTCTCTCCTCTTCCACCTCCCCTCCTTCCTCTCCTGCCCCTCGCCAATCCACCAGTCGCCAGTATCAGGAGCGCAGTGGTACACGCTCGACGCCATACGGGCCGTGAACCAGGCAGTGGGGCGAGTGATTCCTCTCTCTCCTCTTCCACCTCCCCTCCTTCCTCTCCTGCCCCTCTCCAATCCACCAGTCGCCGGTATCAGGAGCGCAGTGGTACACGCTCGACGCCATACGAGCCGTGAACCAGGCAGTGGGGCGAGTGATTCCTCTCTCTCCTCTTCCACCTCCCCTCCTTCCTCTCCTGCCCCTCGCCAATCCACCAGTCGCCGGTATCAGGAGCGCAGTGGTACACGCTCGACGCCATACGGGCCGTGAACCAGGCAGTGGGGCGAGTGATTCCTCTCTCTCCTCTTCCACCTCCCCTCCTTCCTCTCCTGCCCCTCGCCAATCCACCAGTCGCCGGTATCAGGAGCGCAGTGGTACACGCTCGACGCCATACGGGCCGTGAACCAGGCAGTGGGGCGAGTGATTCCTCTCTCTCCTCTTCCACCTCCCCTCCTTCCTCTCCTGCCCCTCGCCAATCCACCAGTCGCCGGTATCAGGAGCGCAGTGGTACACGCTCGACGCCATACGAGCCGTGAACCAGGCAGTGGGGCGAGTGATTCCTCTCTCTCCTCTTCCACCTCCCCTCCTTCCTCTCCTGCCCCTCGCCAATCCACCAGTCGCCGGTATCAGGAGCGCAGTGGTACACGCTCGACGCCATACGAGCCGTGAACCAGGCAGTGGGGCGAGTGATTCCTCTCTCTCCTCTTCCACCTCCCCTCCTTCCTCTCCTGCCCCTCGCCAATCCACCAGTCGCCGGTATCAGGAGCGCAGTGGTACACGCTCGACGCCATACGAGCCGTAAACCAGGCAGTGGGGCGAGTGATTCCTCTCTCTCCTCTTCCACCTCCCCTCCTTCCTCTCCTGCCCCTCGCCAATCCACCAGTCGCCGGTATCAGGAGCGCAGTGGTACACGCTCGACGCCATACGAGCCGTAAACCAGGCAGTGGGGCGAGTGATTCCTCTCTCTCCTCTTCCACCTCCCCTCCTTCCTCTCCTGCCCCTCGCCAATCCACCAGTCACCGGTATCAGGAGCGCAGTGGTACACGCTCGACGCCATACGAGCCGTGAACCAGGCAGTGGGGCGAGTGATTCCTCTCTCTCCTCTTCCACCTCCCCTCCTTCCTCTCCTGCCCCTCGCCAATCCACCAGTCGCCGGTATCAGGAGCGCAGTGGTACACGCTCGACGCCATACGGGCCGTGAACCAGGCAGTGGGGCGAGTGATTCCTCTCTCTCCTCTTCCACCTCCCCTCCTTCCTCTCCTGCCCCTCGCCAATCCACCAGTCGCCGGTATCAGGAGCGCAGTGGTACACGCTCGACGCCATACGAGCCGTGAACCAGGCAGTGGGGCGAGTGATTCCTCTCTCTCCTCTTCCACCTCCCCTCCTTCCTCTCCTGCCCCTCGCCAATCCACCAGTCGCCAGTATCAGGAGCGCAGTGGTACACGCTCGACGCCATACGGGCCGTGAACCAGGCAGTGGGGCGAGTGATTCCTCTCTCTCCTCTTCCACCTCCCCTCCTTCCTCTCCTGCCCCTCTCCAATCCACCAGTCGCCGGTATCAGGAGCGCAGTGGTACACGCTCGACGCCATACGAGCCGTGAACCAGGCAGTGGGGCGAGTGATTCCTCTCTCTCCTCTTCCACCTCCCCTCCTTCCTCTCCTGCCCCTCGCCAATCCACCAGTCGCCGGTATCAGGAGCGCAGTGGTACACGCTCGACGCCATACGGGCCGTGAACCAGGCAGTGGGGCGAGTGATTCCTCTCTCTCCTCTTCCACCTCCCCTCCTTCCTCTCCTGCCCCTCGCCAATCCACCAGTCGCCGGTATCAGGAGCGCAGTGGTACACGCTCGACGCCATACGGGCCGTGAACCAGGCAGTGGGGCGAGTGATTCCTCTCTCTCCTCTTCCACCTCCCCTCCTTCCTCTCCTGCCCCTCGCCAATCCACCAGTCGCCGGTATCAGGAGCGCAGTGGTACACGCTCGACGCCATACGAGCCGTGAACCAGGCAGTGGGGCGAGTGATTCCTCTCTCTCCTCTTCCACCTCCCCTCCTTCCTCTCCTGCCCCTCGCCAATCCACCAGTCGCCGGTATCAGGAGCGCAGTGGTACACGCTCGACGCCATACGAGCCGTGAACCAGGCAGTGGGGCGAGTGATTCCTCTCTCTCCTCTTCCACCTCCCCTCCTTCCTCTCCTGCCCCTCGCCAATCCACCAGTCGCCGGTATCAGGAGCGCAGTGGTACACGCTCGACGCCATACGAGCCGTAAACCAGGCAGTGGGGCGAGTGATTCCTCTCTCTCCTCTTCCACCTCCCCTCCTTCCTCTCCTGCCCCTCGCCAATCCACCAGTCGCCGGTATCAGGAGCGCAGTGGTACACGCTCGACGCCATACGGGCCGTGAACCAGGCAGTGGGGCGAGTGATTCCTCTCTCTCCTCTTCCACCTCCCCTCCTTCCTCTCCTGCCCCTCGCCAATCCACCAGTCGCCAGTATCAGGAGCGCAGTGGTACACGCTCGACGCCATACGGGCCGTGAACCAGGCAGTGGGGCGAGTGATTCCTCTCTCTCCTCTTCCACCTCCCCTCCTTCCTCTCCTGCCCCTCGCCAATCCACCAGTCGCCGGTATCAGGAGCGCAGTGGTACACGCTCGACGCCATACGGGCCGTGAACCAGGCAGTGGGGCGAGTGATTCCTCTCTCTCCTCTTGCACCTCCCCTCCTTCCTCTCCTGCCCCTCGCCAATCCACCAGTCGCCGGTATCAGGAGCGCAGTGGTACACGCTCGACGCCATACGGGCCGTGAACCAGGCAGTGGGGCGAGTGATTCCTCTCTCTCCTCTTCCACCTCCCCTCCTTCCTCTCCTGCCCCTCGCCAATCCACCAGTCGCCGGTATCAGGAGCGCAGTGGTACACGCTCGACGCCATACGGGCCGTGAACCAGGCAGTGGGGCGAGTGATTCGCCACCGCAACGACTTTGGCTCCATCATCCTCCTGGATGAGAGGTGGGCATGAGGGAAGTGGGTAGTCAGGCTGGATGACACGTGTGTGAATGTTATTCGCCACCGCAACGACTTTGGCTCCATCATCCTCCTGGATGAGAGGTGGGCATGAGGGAAGTGGGTAGTTAGGCTGGATGACACGTGTGTGAATGTGATTCGCCACCGCAACGACTTTGGCTCCATCATCCTCCTGGATGAGAGGTGGGCATGAGGGAAGTGGGTAGTTAGGCTGGATGACACGTGTGTGAATGTGATTCGCCACCGCAACGACTTTGGCTCCATCATTCTTCTGGATGAGAGGTGGGAAGGGGGATGGGGAAAGGGTAAGGTTGTGGGGAGGGGGGTGAGGGGGGGTAGTGGACGGGAGGTTGAGTAGGGAGGGGAGGTGAGAACAAGAGTATGGGAGAGGTGGTTCCGTCCTCGCCACTTCGCGTCCGCCACTTGCCACTGCCATGACTTGTTCGTTTATCCTGCTGGATGAACGGTGTGGGTGAGACGAAATGCTTAACGGGGGAAATGGGTGATGTGTGAGGGGCACAAAATGCTAAAGGTGATTCGCTGACCCAATCCGCCCCTACTCTCCCATCTGTCCCCATCTCCCCCATCTGCCCCATCTCCCCCATCTGCCCCATCTCCCCCATCTGCCCCATCTGCCCCATCTCCCCCATCTGCCCCATCTGCCCCATCTCCCCCAATCAGGTTTGCAGAGCCCAAGCTGAAGGACCGCCTCTCCATGTGGAGTTATCTTCCCCATTTTATCCATCTCCCCTGTTTGCACATTTCCCCCATGTGACCCATCTCCCCCATCTCTCCCAATCAGGTTCGCAGAGCCCAAGCTGAAGGACCGCCTCTCCATGTGGATCCGCCCCGCTCTAAAGGTGCGTCCCTCCTTCCCCCACCCCCCTTACCCTACCCCCTTCTTTGTGATGCTTTCTCGTGTCACCACGAGTGAGGGCCCCTGTCTCCTTACCCTTGCCCCTGTTTCCCCTCGTTCAAGGTGCTCCCCCAAGGAGAAAGGAGGGGAGCACCTTGTGATCCGCCCGGCTCTCAAGGTGCTCCCCTCCTTTCTCCACCCCTCTCCTTCGTCTCGCTTTCTCGTTTCCCCCCTTTCTACATCTCCGCCGGTGGGTTCTTTTGCTGTTTCTGCTGACATTTGCCCCTCTTCAGCTCGTTCACTCTCTACGTGCTTCCGCTCGCCCCTGTTTCATTCAGCCTTGTCGAGTTCTGTCTTGTGCTCTGATATCTCTCCATCGGCGTTGCTAAAAAAAGAAAGCTGCTGAGAGGAGTCGCTTTCAAGAAATTTAAAGCCAATCCATTATCACTTCTGCCCTGGAGCCTCGCTCAGCTTGGCTCGCCTCACACCGGATTCGGGTTTACACGCGCTCTCCTCCTCTCCTCCAACCATCGGGTATACAGTGGGTTCGGCGAAGCAGCCTTCTCTCTCACCAAGTTCTTCCGCAGCCTAACCCAATAAAGCCTGCCCCGAACCTGCCGTTCCTTTCCTAACTACTCCCCACCCACCACATCTCCCCTCATCCCCTTCCATCAGGTATACAGTGGGTTTGGCGAGGCAGCCTTCTCTCTCATCAAGTTCTTCCGCAGTCAACCCAACGGAGCTTGCCCCAAGCCCGCCTGCCCAGACCCCATCGCCCCAAGCCCCACCCGTTCGCCCACCCACAATCATCCTGCTGCCGCCGCTGCTGCCGCCGCCGCTGCTGCTCCCACTGCCGGCGCTTGCCCCATGACCTCCAAGCATGCTGCAGAAGCCGCTGCTGCTGGTCTGTCAGGGGTGGCCGTCTATCCCCCGTTCCCCTCCAGCCGCTCCCTGCTAGACGCAGGTAGGTTGCTCCAACGCGAGAATTGCGAGTCAACTCAAAAGTATTTGAGTGGAATAGAGGTGCTTGCCCCATGACCTCCAAGCACGCTGCAGAAGCCGCTGCTGCTGGTCTGTCAGGGGTGGCCGTCTATCCCCCGTTCCCCTCCAGCCGCTCCCTGCTAGACGCAGGTAGGTTGCTCCAACGCGAGAATTGTGAGTCAACTCAAAAGTATTTGAGTGGAATAGAGGTGCTTGCCCCATGACCTCCAAGCACGCTGCAGAAGCCGCTGCTGCTGGTGCTCTGTCAGGAGTGGACATTCTTCTCCCGTTCCACTCCACTCGGTCCCTGCTAGACGCAGGTAGGTTGTGCGTGTTTGTGCCACTTTTAGGAACCTGCTGCTGCTGCTCCCACCCCCAGCGCTTGCCCCACAACGAGCACCAAGCCGTTGCCGCTGCTCTGTCAGGAATGGACGTTGTTTTCCAATTCCCCTCCAGCCGGTCCCGGCGAGATGCAGGTAGTTAGGTTGTGCTTGTGTCACTTATAAGAATTCTCAAATGGCAAAATGGCGAGATCCAGCGTGTGGGAGGAATTTTGTGGGGTGGGGTTAGTTGTGTGGTGTGCGGGATGGAGCCAGGAAGAAATAAAAATCCGAGTGTCAATCGTCAAATCACGCGTCCAGCGGAACATGTGACGATCGCCCTGCCACAACGTAAAATCTAACTTAGCTGTGCATGTCTTTTGAGTCGACCAAAGGTCCCCTGTAACTCACTTTGCTCCTGTGTTCTCTAGTCTGAGAAATTGTTGACTCTCACCCATCTTCTGCGTAATTCCGTTTCTTGCTCTCCCTCACATCGCGCCAGACCCCTTTTCGGTGCCAGCAGCTAACAAGGTGCCAGGGAGAACAAGCCAGAAGTCGTCAATGCTGAAACGGGAGCTCACCTTGCCGCTTGTGTTATCTAGTCTGAGAAGTGGCTAAGCCTCACCCCTGTCAAATCTCACACCGCTCCTGCATGATCTCGTTTCTTGCTCTCCCCACCCACACATTCCGCCAGACCCCTTGCTGGTGCCAGCAGCAAATGAGGTGTCAGCAGCAAGGCGGCAGCGGCAGGGAGCGGCCACAAGGGGGACAGAGAGCAGTGGTGATGGGAACGAGAGTGTTGGCGGAGATAGAAATGGTGCAGGAAGCGTTGACAGGAGTCAAGCGAGTGGAGAGGTGAAGCTTGAGGGTGGCAAGGCAGGGAAGGTGCGTGGACGGTGGAGGGCAATAAGCATCGTGGGGGAGAGTGTGGTTTGGCTTTATGCTATGGTTTTGCAGATTACGCCCTTCAGTAATGTGTGTGTGGTAAGGTAGTGGGGGTGTCACTCACACTCTGTGTGTAGGGTAAAGCTAGATATTGGGTTTCAGTCAAGGCGCTCATGTCTGGATTCGACTCAGCACTTTTGAGGTGTGTTCTGAACGACCCAAAACACGCCCATAAAGCTAAATATTGGGTTTGAGTCAAGACACTCATATCTGGATGTGACTCAGCACTCTTGACAGTAGGCCGAGTGACTTGAGCGTGTGTTTTTGTACGACAATGGTTTGCTGCGGTATTGCTGCAAGGGGGGTCAAAATCCTCTTTTCTTATCCTTCGTTCTGAGACATACTAAACAATCTGCTTTTCCTACTGCGTATTCCTCCTTACCTCCTCCATTTTCACTCCACCAACCTATCCATTTTCCCATTCCTATCCGTATCCTATGCCTGCCCGTCTCTCACAACAGAATTCACGAGTGCCCTCTCTCTTCTCCCCCACCATTCCCCGCCCGCCTGTAGCCTCCACCTCCTCCCTGCTCGCTGCTGCTCGTGCCCACATGAGCACACACCAGCCTGCACCAAATGCATATGTATCATCTTCTCTTGAGACGTCTCAATTGCAGCAGCAGAAAGCATCCAAGCAGCATGAGTCAAGCACACTACTAGCAGCACCCGAGAGACCACAAGCACCCGGCACTCAACATCCACCAGCGACCCTGCAAGAACCAGCCTTTCCACCCCAACCAGCCTTTCCACCCCAACCAGCCTCCCAACACCAACCAGCCTGCAAACCTTATTCTACCACCATACGAAAGTCAACCACGAAATGCGTCTCCCCTGCCTCTCCCACCATTGACTTGACTCAAGACTGCGCGTTATCCGACCCTGCTGCTTCTCCTCCCTGCTGCTCCCCTCCCGCGTCCCCTCCTCTCCCGTCTGCTACAAAATGTGTCTCCCCTGCCTCTCCCGTTATTGACTTGACTCAAGACTGTGACCCACCCGACCCTGCTGCTGTTACTCCTCCCTGCTGCTCCCCGCCTGTGCCCTCTGCTTCGCCTCCCACCGATTCCCCTGAGGCCGATAAAGGGAGGCGAGGAACAGGGCAGGGGGGGGAGAAGAGGAGGCGGGATGTGGAGGCGTTGCAGGATGAACGGGTGGAGGATAGAAGTGGAATGGGAAGGAGAGGAGCAGAGAGGATGAAAGGCGGCGATGCAGAGAGGCGGTTGGAGGGTGGAGATGCAGCGATGTGGGCTGGAGATGTTGAGATGAGGATGAACGGTGCAGATTCAGAGAGGAAGATGAAGGGTGGAGATGCAGGGAAGAGGAAGGCGAGTGGGAAAGGAAGAGAGTGGAGCGAGCAGCCAAGTGAGGCAGGCGTTGGATTAGCAGGCGCAGGAGAAGCAGGGAGAGGAGCAGCAGTGGGCGATGGGGGGGATTGCCTGAGAGATCCCAGTGGTTGTGGCAGCGGGGATGCACCACCTCGGACCGGGGCTGAAGCTGCACCAATGGGGCTGCAGCGGGACAGCAGAGGAGCGTCTCAGAACGAAGACTCCTCCTCAGGAGGCCCACGGGGTGAATGTCTAACACCAGAGGGGCCCCTCAGAAGCAGAGGAGTAGCAAGCTGCCAAGGGAACGGTGCAGGGAGCAGAAGAGCAGCAGGTTCGCAAGGGAATGGTGTAGGGAGTCTTGCCACAAGAAAAGGGAATGGTGCAAAGAAAAGCCTCGTGACGAAGGAGGAGGAGAACAGGCGGGCACGCGAGTACCTGAGTGTGGTGCAAACCTCCCTGCCCCCGCCGGACTTCCAAACCTTCCTCCGCCTGCTCCGGGAGTTCCGAAGCAGCCGAGCGCAGGTTCGGCAGCCCTTAGACCAGCGGCAGCAGCAGCAGCAGCAGCAGCAGCCCGTCTTCTCCTCTGCTTCTCAACCAGCAGCAGTGGTTCCAGTGGGTGATGGAGCGGTGATGAGTGGTGGTGCAGTGTTGGCCACTCGCACTGACCTGCTGCATTCACTGGCGTCACTCTTTGCGGCCTCCAACCAGCTCCCTCTGCTCGCAGGGTAAGTCGCTGCTTGCCTCTGCTGGCAGGGTAGGTCACTGCTTCTCTCGCTGCTGTGCCTTCAACCGTTTTTCCTTCTGGTAACCAGGCCGCCTGTCTTCAGCCCTTTCCTCGGACTCCGCTTTTTCCTCTTGGTTTGTCAATTAGAAAAAAGACTGCTTGTTGTCTATTAGATTCTTATTCTTGCCCCTGTTGACCTTGGGTCCCTCGCCGTCCCCCTTCCACCCCCCTGTCAATCGCGCCTGTCACCAGCTTTGATGCCTTTCTCAGCAAGCAGGAGGACAAAGCTACGCTCAAGGAGTTGTTAGAAAAGACAGCTGGGTAACTTCCAGATACATTTTGGTATCACAAATGCTTAGACGTCCCTGGATAACAAAATCTACGTGCCGGGGATTCTAGATTTGTCAAGTAAACTAACCGCCCATTTACATGACCAACGTGGTGAATTCGGTGGGTTATCTACGCAATAGTGTGTGCTTGTATGATGTCCACCGAAGCATATACGACATCAAATATCAATTCAAGGACATCAAATACGGTATGTTTAGTGTTCCTCCTTTACGTTACCAGATTCTGTATTGGGGGGGCGTAAGAATAGAAATCTGCTTTCCCGTCCAAATTCTGTATTTCTCGTGACCGCCGCCTGTCGCCTCGGCGCCTATCATCTTTGTCGTCGTCGGCAGCAGCAACAGCAACAAGAAGCAGCATTTCTCGTCATGGCGCCCTCGCTTTCTGTGGGGCTTCCAGGAATTTTCACAGCGTGCCTTCGCATCTCTTGCTTCTGTTTCTTGATCCTCGCGCCGGCCGTTAGCACGGTTTGCGCCGCGTCCCGTCCCTTCGGTTCGGTTTCCGCGGGGAATTTCGACAGCCGCTTACGTTCTGCCACGTGGAAATCGTCAGAGTTCTCGCTCCCGTCGCATGCCATTCGCTTGGGTGTGATTCTAGAAAGAAACGCTAACGGTGAAGTCACGTCCGTTAGAGTAACGAAAAGGAAAACAGAAGGCCCATGGATCCAGAGAGAGAAAGGGCGGGCGGAATTCGGGGAGAGGCGTGCGGAGCGCGGAACAGAGGCGGAACAGGAAAGGCAGGGGGGAGCATGGAACGGGGGGAAGGCGGAGTGGGAGCAGGAGCGGCGGAAGCAGGAGGAGGGGGAGCAGGGGGAAGGGGAGCACGGGGAACTGGGGCAATCTGGAGCGGCGGAATGCGCGTGGGGTATTTTCCAAGAGTCGATGCTCGACGTTGGGTGGCATTTTTTGTCCGTAGTGACCAATACTTCGTGCTCCAGCAAGGATCAGGCGTTTGCAGGGGCAGCTGACGTCACTCCCCATGCAGCAGCATTTCGTTAACGAGTTCGGCAAGTTAAAACGATCACCTCGCCTGTTACAGTATCTACAAACGAATCGCGCTTATATGGAGGATATGGTCGCTGCAGCCGAGGCTGGTGACGTGGCGGACGAGGATAGGACGTACTGGTGGCAGGTGGGGGGGGGAAGGGGTGGGAACGGGAAGTGGAGAGATGAAGAGAAGGGAAAGCTGGTGGCGGTTGAATGGGCGGGCAGAGGGGTGGGATTGGCACACAGTCCTCATTTACAAGTTCGAATCTTGCTTTTTATGCACCTTATAATCACTCGTCCTCTCACTTATCTAGTAGTGGCCTGGCCTATCCCGCTTAACAACCTTAGATTGAAACGTGCTTCGCCTCCCTTTCATCCCTTCCGTCTCATCCCATGGCAGGTGGGTCTCGTGCTGGAGCAGGTGAGAGGCCTGCACATGGGCTTTAACGACGCAGTCAAGCCTGCAGAGAGGCTGCGAGGTGGGGTGCATTCATGCACCCATGCATCCATACATCCATGCACCCATGCACACATGCATCCATGCATCCAGGCACCCCCATCCATGCCTGGGCTTTGTGATTCTAGGAAACATTCCACCTCGTTACATGCTCCTGTATCACTCACATTTACCCTTCAGTCTTCATCCAACCAGATAAAAAAAAAATCAGTCATTCATTTCCATTCACTTCTCCTGCTCGACGTCTTTCTCTTACTCACTCTACCGCACTGCACTCCTTCCCACCGCTCACCGCCACCAGCAATCGACTTTGACATCATGAATCTGCACGGGGACATCCAGGATCTACAGTACGTACTCGATATAGCGCATGCTGCACACGCGGACTGTGCCAGCACTGATGCGGATGGGGACAACTCTGGAAGCAGGAGCGATGAGACCCATGGGGGCGACAGTCGGGGCAGCAATGGGGGCAGCAAGGGGGGCAGCAATGGGGGCAGCAAGGAGGGCAGCAATGGGGGCAGCAAGGGGGGCAGCAATGGGGGCAGCAAGGAGGGCAGCAATGGGGGCAGCAAGGAGGGCAGCAATGGGGCAGCAAGGGGGGCAGCAATGGGGGGCAGCAATGGGGGCAGCAAGGAGGGCAGCAATGGGGGCAGCAAGGAGGGCAGCAATGGGGGCAGCAAGGAGGGCAGCAATGGGGGCAGCAAGGAGGGCAGCAATGGGGGCAGCAAGGAGGGCAGCAATGGGGGCAGCAAGGAGGGCAGCAATGGGGGCAGCAAGGAGGGCAGCAATGGGGGCAGCAAGGAGGGCAGCAATGGGGGCAGCAAGGAGGGCAGCAATGGGGGCAGCAAGGAGGGCAGCAATGGGGGCAGCAAGGAGGGCAGCAATGGGGGCAGCAAGGAGGGCAGCAATGGGGGCAGCAAGGAGGGCAGCAATGGGGGCAGCAAGGAGGGCAGCAATGGGGGCAGCAAGGAGGGCAGCAATGGGGGCAGCAAGGAGGGCAGCAATGGGGGCAGCAAGGAGGGCAGCAATGGGGGCAGCAAGGAGGGCAGCAATGGGGGCAGCAAGGAGGGCAGCAATGGGGGCAGCAAGGAGGGCAGCAATGGGGGCAGCAAGGAGGGCAGCAATGGGGGCAGCAAGGAGGGCAGCAATGGGGGCAGCAAGGAGGGCAGCAATGGGGGCAGCAAGGAGGGCAGCAATGGGGGCAGCAAGGAGGGCAGCAATGGGGGCAGCAAGGAGGGCAGCAATGGGGGCAGCAAGGAGGGCAGCAATGGGGGCAGCAAGGAGGGCAGCAATGGGGGCAGCAAGGAGGGCAGCAATGGGGGCAGCAAGGAGGGCAGCGATGGGGGCAGCAAGGAGGGCAGCGATGGGGGCAGCAAGGAGGGCAGCAATGGGGGCAGCAAGGAGGGCAGCAATGGGGGCAGCAAGGAGGGCAGCAATGGGGGCAGCAAGGAGGGCAGCAATGGGGGCAGCAAGGAGGGCAGCAATGGGGGCAGCAAGGAGGGCAGCAATGGGGGCAGCAAGGAGGGCAGCAATGGGGGCAGCAAGGAGGGCAGCAATGGGGGCAGCAAGGAGGGCAGCAATGGGGGCAGCAAGGAGGGCAGCAATGGGGGCAGCAAGGAGGGCAGCAATGGGGGCAGCAAGGAGGGCAGCAATGGGGGCAGCAAGGAGGGCAGCAATGGGGGCAGCAAGGAGGGCAGCAATGGGGGCAGCAAGGAGGGCAGCAATGGGGGCAGCAAGGAGGGCAGCAATGGGGGCAGCAAGGAGGGCAGCAATGGGGGCAGCAAGGAGGGCAGCAATGGGGGCAGCAAGGAGGGCAGCAATGGGGGCAGCAAGGAGGGCAGCAATGGGGGCAGCAAGGAGGGCAGCAATGGGGGCAGCAAGGAGGGCAGCAATGGGGGCAGCAAGGAGGGCAGCAATGGGGGCAGCAAGGAGGGCAGCAATGGGGGCAGCAAGGAGGGCAGCAATGGGGGCAGCAAGGAGGGCAGCAATGGGGGCAGCAAGGAGGGCAGCAATGGGGGCAGCAAGGAGGGCAGCAATGGGGGCAGCAAGGAGGGCAGCAATGGGGGCAGCAAGGAGGGCAGCAATGGGGGCAGCAAGGAGGGCAGCAATGGGGGCAGCAAGGAGGGCAGCAATGGGGGCAGCAAGGAGGGCAGCAATGGGGGCAGCAAGGAGGGCAGCAATGGGGGCAGCAAGGAGGGCAGCAATGGGGGCAGCAAGGAGGGCAGCAATGGGGGCAGCAAGGAGGGCAGCAATGGGGGCAGCAAGGAGGGCAGCAATGGGGGCAGCAAGGAGGGCAGCAATGGGGGCAGCAAGGAGGGCAGCAATGGGGGCAGCAAGGAGGGCAGCAATGGGGGCAGCAAGGAGGGCAGCAATGGGGGCAGCAAGGAGGGCAGCAATGGGGGCAGCAAGGAGGGCAGCAATGGGGGCAGCAAGGAGGGCAGCAATGGGGGCAGCAAGGAGGGCAGCAATGGGGGCAGCAAGGAGGGCAGCAATGGGGGCAGCAAGGAGGGCAGCAATGGGGGCAGCAAGGAGGGCAGCAATGGGGGCAGCAAGGAGGGCAGCAATGGGGGCAGCAAGGAGGGCAGCAATGGGGGCAGCAAGGAGGGCAGCAATGGGGGCAGCAAGGAGGGCAGCAATGGGGGCAGCAAGGAGGGCAGCAATGGGGGCAGCAAGGAGGGCAGCAATGGGGGCAGCAAGGAGGGCAGCAATGGGGGCAGCAAGGAGGGCAGCAATGGGGGCAGCAAGGAGGGCAGCAATGGGGGCAGCAAGGAGGGCAGCAATGGGGGCAGCAAGGAGGGCAGCAATGGGGGCAGCAAGGAGGGCAGCAATGGGGGCAGCAAGGAGGGCAGCAATGGGGGCAGCAAGGAGGGCAGCAATGGGGGCAGCAAGGAGGGCAGCAATGGGGGCAGCAAGGAGGGCAGCAATGGGGGCAGCAAGGAGGGCAGCAATGGGGGCAGCAAGGAGGGCAGCAATGGGGGCAGCAAGGAGGGCAGCAATGGGGGCAGCAAGGAGGGCAGCAATGGGGGCAGCAAGGAGGGCAGCAATGGGGGCAGCAAGGAGGGCAGCAATGGGGGCAGCAAGGAGGGCAGCAATGGGGGCAGCAAGGAGGGCAGCAATGGGGGCAGCAAGGAGGGCAGCAATGGGGGCAGCAAGGAGGGCAGCAATGGGGGCAGCAAGGAGGGCAGCAATGGGGGCAGCAAGGAGGGCAGCAATGGGGGCAGCAAGGAGGGCAGCAATGGGGGCAGCAAGGAGGGCAGCAATGGGGGCAGCAAGGAGGGCAGCAATGGGGGCAGCAAGGAGGGCAGCAATGGGGGCAGCAAGGAGGGCAGCAATGGGGGCAGCAAGGAGGGCAGCAATGGGGGCAGCAAGGAGGGCAGCAATGGGGGCAGCAAGGAGGGCAGCAATGGGGGCAGCAAGGAGGGCAGCAATGGGGGCAGCAAGGAGGGCAGCAATGGGGGCAGCAAGGAGGGCAGCAATGGGGGCAGCAAGGAGGGCAGCAATGGGGGCAGCAAGGAGGGCAGCAATGGGGGCAGCAAGGAGGGCAGCAATGGGGGCAGCAAGGAGGGCAGCAATGGGGGCAGCAAGGAGGGCAGCAATGGGGGCAGCAAGGAGGGCAGCAATGGGGGCAGCAAGGAGGGCAGCAATGGGGGCAGCAAGGAGGGCAGCAATGGGGGCAGCAAGGAGGGCAGCAATGGGGGCAGCAAGGAGGGCAGCAATGGGGGCAGCAAGGAGGGCAGCAATGGGGGCAGCAAGGAGGGCAGCAATGGGGGCAGCAAGGAGGGGAGCAAAGCAATGGGGGCAGCAAGGAGGGCAGCAATGGGGGCAGCAAGGAGGGCAGCAATGGGGGCAGCAAGGAGGGCAGCAATGGGGGCAGCAAGGAGGGCAGCAATGGGGGCAGCAAGGAGGGCAGCAATGGGGGCAGCAAGGAGGGCAGCAATGGGGGCAGCAAGGAGGGCAGCAATGGGGGCAGCAAGGAGGGCAGCAATGGGGGCAGCAAGGAGGGCAGCAATGGGGGCAGCAAGGAGGGCAGCAATGGGGGCAGCAAGGAGGGCAGCAATGGGGGCAGCAAGGAGGGCAGCAATGGGGGCAGCAAGGAGGGCAGCAATGGGGGCAGCAAGGAGGGCAGCAATGGGGGCAGCAAGGAGGGCAGCAATGGGGGCAGCAAGGAGGGCAGCAATGGGGGCAGCAAGGAGGGCAGCAATGGGGGCAGCAAGGAGGGCAGCAATGGGGGCAGCAAGGAGGGCAGCAATGGGGGCAGCAAGGAGGGCAGCAATGGGGGCAGCAAGGAGGGCAGCAATGGGGGCAGCAAGGAGGGCAGCAATGGGGGCAGCAAGGAGGGCAGCAATGGGGGCAGCAAGGAGGGCAGCAATGGGGGCAGCAAGGAGGGCAGCAATGGGGGCAGCAAGGAGGGCAGCAATGGGGGCAGCAAGGAGGGCAGCAATGGGGGCAGCAAGGAGGGCAGCAATGGGGGCAGCAAGGAGGGCAGCAATGGGGGCAGCAAGGAGGGCAGCAATGGGGGCAGCAAGGAGGGCAGCAATGGGGGCAGCAAGGAGGGCAGCAATGGGGGCAGCAAGGAGGGCAGCAATGGGGGCAGCAAGGAGGGCAGCAATGGGGGCAGCAAGGAGGGCAGCAATGGGGGCAGCAAGGAGGGCAGCAATGGGGGCAGCAAGGAGGGCAGCAATGGGGGCAGCAAGGAGGGCAGCAATGGGGGCAGCAAGGAGGGCAGCAATGGGGGCAGCAAGGAGGGCAGCAATGGGGCAGCAAGGAGGGGAGGGCAGCAATGGGGGCAGCAAGGAGGGCAGCAATGGGGGCAGCAAGGAGGGCAGCAATGGGGGCAGCAAGGAGGGCAGCAATGGGGGCAGCAAGGAGGGCAGCAATGGGGGCAGCAAGGAGGGCAGCAATGGGGGCAGCAAGGAGGGCAGCAATGGGGGCAGCAAGGAGGGCAGCAATGGGGGCAGCAAGGAGGGCAGCAATGGGGGCAGCAAGGAGGGCAGCAATGGGGGCAGCAAGGAGGGCAGCAATGGGGGCAGCAAGGAGGGCAGCAATGGGGGCAGCAAGGAGGGCAGCAATGGGGGCAGCAAGGAGGGCAGCAATGGGGGCAGCAAGGAGGGCAGCAATGGGGGCAGCAAGGAGGGCAGCAATGGGGGCAGCAAGGAGGGCAGCAATGGGGGCAGCAAGGAGGGCAGCAATGGGGGCAGCAAGGAGGGCAGCAATGGGGGCAGCAAGGAGGGCAGCAATGGGGGCAGCAAGGAGGGCAGCAATGGGGGCAGCAAGGAGGGCAGCAATGGGGGCAGCAAGGAGGGCAGCAATGGGGGCAGCAAGGAGGGCAGCAATGGGGGCAGCAAGGAGGGCAGCAATGGGGGCAGCAAGGAGGGCAGCAATGGGGGCAGCAAGGAGGGCAGCAATGGGGGCAGCAAGGAGGGCAGCAATGGGGGCAGCAAGGAGGGCAGCAATGGGGGCAGCAAGGAGGGCAGCAATGGGGGCAGCAAGGAGGGCAGCAATGGGGGCAGCAAGGAGGGCAGCAATGGGGGCAGCAAGGAGGGCAGCAATGGGGGCAGCAAGGAGGGCAGCAATGGGGGCAGCAAGGAGGGCAGCAATGGGGGCAGCAAGGAGGGCAGCAATGGGGGCAGCAAGGAGGGCAGCAATGGGGGCAGCAAGGAGGGCAGCAATGGGGGCAGCAAGGAGGGCAGCAATGGGGGCAGCAAGGAGGGCAGCAATGGGGGCAGCAAGGAGGGCAGCAATGGGGGCAGCAAGGAGGGCAGCAATGGGGGCAGCAAGGAGGGCAGCAATGGGGGCAGCAAGGAGGGCAGCAATGGGGGCAGCAAGGAGGGCAGCAATGGGGGCAGCAAGGAGGGCAGCAATGGGGGCAGCAAGGAGGGCAGCAATGGGGGCAGCAAGGAGGGCAGCAATGGGGGCAGCAAGGAGGGCAGCAATGGGGGCAGCAAGGAGGGCGAGGGTGGGGAGGAAAGGCTTATGCTCGTCTTCCCAGATGCATGCTCTGCCATTATCAAGGTGAGTCTGTTTATGCAGACTTATCCTCAAGCTTAAGATCAGTTTGTTTCCACCTTTCTCAATCTTTCATGCGGTCGTTCTTCCAGGAAACAGTTTTCGTCTGCATGCATGCATGACGTGTCTTCCCTACCCTACCCTTCAACCCATATGCCTGCTCTGCACCCTTTATGCCCTGCCCTGCAACCCTATGTCCCACACACACACCACCACGCCAGCTACTGCCAGGCAATGCTGACCTGCTCATTGTCCCCCTGCTCTCATAGCCCTGCCCTGCTCTACCCTGCCCTGCCCTGCCCTGCCCTGCCCTGCCCTGCCCTGCCCTGCCCTGCTCTGCCCTGCCCTGCCCTGCCCTGAAACCCTCTCCTATGTCCCGCACACCCCGACCGCCAGCTACTGCCAGGCAACGCTGACCTGCTCACGGCTCAAGCCACGTGGACTCGCCTTGAGACCATGCTTCGCATCTACAAGTCAGTTTGCCCCCCCTTTCCCCCATGCTCCCATGCCCCCCATGCCCCACCTGCACACTACGCCCTGCGCCCCTCACCAGCTGCTGCCTTGATACTCAGTCAGTCATTCTGCCTTGTACTAGTACCCCTTTGCCCACTCTGCGGTGCATCTCTTGCTCCTTCTCTTCCTTCTTCCCTTCTGATATCGTTTCTCTCTTCCCATCTCCCTCTTTTGACTCTCTCTTCTCTTCTCTTATTTCCCCTGTACTTTTTCTCGTATACCCCTACTTGCACTGTTTCTCCCTCACCCCCTCCCATATCTATTCTCAATCATCCTCCTGCCAGGATCTACGATTTCTCATTCCAACTCACTCCACCAAGCAATATCAACGCTGCTGCCGCTGCCACGTCAGCTGCTGACGTCATCCCGGGTCGTGCCATGTCGTTCGCCAGCTATCCCGGCCGTCTGTTTTCCGGCGACGATTTTTACATCACCAGTGCCAAGCTGGCCATTCTGGTAACTTGTGGGGTGCCAGAAGCATATATTCGTGTCACTGATGCTAGGCTGGTAGTGTAGGTAGTGGAGACGTGGGGAAAAGGGAAGGCAGGGGAAGGTGGGGGGGAGGGGAAAGGGAAGGCAGGGGAAGAGGGGAAACACGTGTTTTCAACATCATTAGGCAAATTGTACACTTCAGCACACTTGTTGTGGTGACACGCTTTGTTCGCTTCTTCGTGTATAGTTTTGATGCGCCTGCCTCAAAACTAGGCTTCTTCGGATATGTGTCACCACAACTTCTGTGCATGCATATTCATATTCTTATTCATGTCCGTTCATATGCTGCTGAGCGTAGCTGATGCATGCTCCGTTCGATGTGTATAACTGACGTGCAGCCGTCTGATGGGCATGCAATAAAAATTATCTGGTCGCGTTTCAGTTTGCACGTTGCTTCCCAACCTCCCACCTCCATTGGTTGTCACGTGTCCCTCATCTGCTTGCACTGCCACGTCTCACCAGGAGACTACCATAGGGAATAACAACGCTGATCTGTACCGACGCTACGTGCGGGCCAATGGCACGGTGAGTCAATTTCTGTGGATCTTGTAGGTCAACCAAATAGTCAGCTGTAGTGTCGCTGTGTGTAGGCCAATGTTTGAGGCAATTGTTTCGCTGATATTTTCTTTAAAATTTTTCTTTTATGATCTCCTACTGTTGTTTTCCTTCCATCACTTTCCTCTCTTACTATTATTTTATTGTTCTCCTTCTTTCCCTCTCCCCGCCCCCAGGTCTTGGAGTGCATTCGCAACGTGGTGTGGTGGCCAACCGGGTGGCGATTGAGAATTCCCTCTTCCCCCTCCCTCCCCCTCTTTCCCCCCTCTTTACTGCATCCCCACCCCCCTCTCCTCTCTCCCCGCCTGCAGGTGTTAGGGTGGATTCGCAACGTGGTGGCCAACCGGGTGGCTTATAGGACTTCTCAAAAGTGACATTCTTTTCCCCATCCTCTCCCTCCCTCTCCCTCCCTCTCCCCTCCTGCCCCTCTCTCCCCGCCTGCAGGTCTTGGAGTGGATTCGCAACGTGGTAGCCAACCGGGTGGCGAGCAGAACAGAGGCGGACAGCTATCGGCTAGCCACATCATACCCTTTTCTCCTCCCCCACACTCCCCACCCCCCTCTCTCCCCGCCCGCAGGTCTTGGAGTGGATTCGCAACGTGGTGGCGAACCGGGTGGCGAGCAGCGGGCGGCAATGGGTGGACGTATTCTCGCGGCACAACAGCGGCACGTACAACAACCAGTGGATGGTGGTGGATTACAAGCGCTTCCACCCAGGCCTGCCTCCCCCGGATCACACCCTCTGGGTGGTCGAGCAACTGCCAGGGTAGGTGTTATGTGGGTTGCACGGTGGGAAGGTGGTGTTATATGAAATAGGTGTTATGTGGGGTAGGTCGTGTCAACAGCGGCACGTATAACAACCAGTGGATGGTCGTGGATTACAAGCGCTTCCACCCAGGCCTACCTCCCCCGGATCACACCCTCTGGACACTTGAGCAGCTTCCCGGGTGGGTGTTGCGTGGAGTAGGTCATTTGAGGCATGTGTAGGTCAGCATTCAGATGATTCTTGAGGCTCCTATAATACATCCTGCTTTTTGCCTGCGTCTCCCTTGTCCCCTCCCTGCAGGCACATAGCAGCAGAGGATATGAGCTCCCATTTGCGATCGGAGGGCTACTGGGCGTCATACAACAACCCAGCCTTCCCTGCCATCTTCAACCTCAGTGGATTCGCCGATCTGGGTAGGCGAACCAGAGTGGTCTCATGCATCCTGCATGCATCCTGCATGCATCCTTCATGCATCCTGCATGCATCCTTCATGCATCCTGCATGCATCCTTCATGCATCCTGCATGCATCCTTCATGCATCCTGCATGCATCCTGCATGCATCCTTCATGCATCCTGCATGCGCCCTTCATGCGCCCTTCATGCGCCCTGCATGCGCCCTTCATGCGCCCTTCATGCGCCCTTCATGCGCCCTTCATGCGCCCTTCATGCGCCCTTCATGCGCCCTTCATGCGCCCTTCATGCGCCCTTCATGCGCCCTTCATGCGCCCTTCATGCGCATGCTGCTCATCTGGTATTCCATGCCATGCACAATACCACATCGTGCCACACCGTGCCACACCATGCCACACTGTCCTGTACCATGCTATACCATGTTTTACCCCACTATCCCACACCACATCACACCACACCACACCCATCCATCAGAGCGGCGCCATGGCTCGTGGTTCTCCCACTCGCAGTGCCCTCGAGCCAAGCTGTTCCGCAGGGACCACTGCAAGGTGCGTGGGTGGGTGGGTGGGTGGGTGGGTGGGTGGTTCTGCAACTGCTGTCGTCTCTTGCTCTATGCACATGCGCCCATGCCCGCATGCCCCAAAATCCATGCGTCCATACCCCCCTTGCTGGCAACAGGTGGTGGACGTGGCATCACTGCAGCGCCTCATGCGCTACAATGACTTCAGGCGTGACCCACTCTCCGCCTGCAACTGCACCCCGCCCTACTCTGCAGGCACGTTCCTTTTGCTTCTCACCTGTTGAGGTGCCTCAAACTTTTGAGGTTTGAGGCGCGTCAGAAGTCACCCCACCCGACTCTGCAGGCTTGTCCCTCTTGCTTTGCATGCCACGTGTATTTTTTAGTCGACTGGTCGTTGGGATCACTCCCCTGCATTCATCCCTCTTCACTCCCAACCAACCTCACTAGGAAACATCTTTTTAGAGTTTCAAAGATCTACCTCCTGAAAAACATATACTTTCTCACCCTGCCCTTTTCCTGGCCAATCAGAGATTGCAATTGCCGCACGTGGGGATTTAAACGAGGCGGGTGGGAAGTATGAGTTGCCGTTCCTGGGCCTCAGGGACCATGCAGAGACCGACTCCAAAATAACCGGGTAACTCTACAATTTACCCTGACTTGCAAATGTCAAATCAACCAATTTCACGCACTCAATGTTACTAGGCGATTGTGCACGACCATGCTTCTTGGGCCATGTCATCATCGCCATGTCATCGTCCAAGTCATCACCTCTCATTGCTACATAAAGCCACAACATCACCATGTCATGACTATGTCATCAGCTTTTTCATTGCCATCTTATCCCCATGGTTCATCAATGCGATAATCATGCTGATAAGAGTCTGTTCTGTGTGTCGTTCGTAACCATAACTAGACATGCGCACAAGGGCGAACACCTGTTCGGTTCGCCTCGAACGTGGTTTGTTTTTTTTGCTTAAAGTGTTCGCCAAACAGTGTTCGAGGTTCGCCCGAACATGTTCGTGTTCGGGCCGCTGCTGCAATTTGCCCCGCGACGAACACAAACGTGTTCGAGGTTCGCCCGAACACGCCTTCACAGGCGAACGGCGAACACCTGTTTTTGCTTAAAGTGTTCGCCGAACCGAACAGTGTTCGGTTCGGCAAACGGATGTGTTCGTGTAGGGGCGAACACGAACATGTTCGTGTTCGCCCCTTGCTCATCCCTAACCATAACCATCTTCGTGATTACCACATGTTCTAGCACAGTCCGGCAGCACTTGCAGTATAACTCCTCCTGTGCTTTGTTTGTCTCCATAACCATAATGATAACATTTTTATATTATCATATCCATGCCTGCAGGTACCACATGTTACAGCACAGCCTGGCAGCACTGGCAATAAGTGGGCCCACATACGACCAGCAGCCGCCATTCCAATGGAGCAAATCACCCTTCGCTAACGTCTCCCATCTGGTGAGTTGAACGGTTTACGCATGTGCAGAGCGGTTTAGACATCTCACAGCGATACCAGGCAAATTCAGAGCGGTTTAGATGTCTCATTCAATGCTTGGCAACAAACGTCATTCATATGGTGCATTTTGAGATGTGAGAAACGTTCATTGCAGGCTGTGAGTGAGGCGGGTGCTTATAGATGGCTGAGAGCATGTGAGAAGGCGCGAGAGAGAGGTGATTTGCAAGGTGTAGGTTGGAGGATGTGACCCATGTGCCATGTGCTGTTCCCTGTGTGCCATGTGCCATGTTCCATGTACAATGTGCCATGATGCCATGTCTCTCGTGCCATGTGCTGCTGTGCATGGTGCCATGTGCATGGTGCACATCCACCAGGGCCATCCGGACCTCTTTCTCTTCCCATGGCTCGCCATCAACTATGGCACAGAGGGCACCCACACCAGCACCAGCACAGAGGGCACCGGCACCAGCCCCAGGGGCAGCCGACTGTCTGTGCATGTTCAACCCGAGCCACAGCAGCCGGGCACAGCCAACATGTAGGGCACACCAGCAGGGGTACTGTGCGAGCCTGTACATACATGCAGGGCCATCCAGACCTCTTTCTCTTCCCGTGGCTCGCCATCAGCTATGGCACTGAGGGCACCAGCAGCAGCACACAGAGCAACCAGGAGCAGTACGGAGCAATCTCAGAATGACGAGGAAACATGTGTATATGTTGGGATGAAGCCTGGAGGCATCCCATCCCATGGGGAAGAACTATGGAGGGCACCAGAGGTAGCAGACTGTCTGTGCACGTCCTCCCCAGTCACGCCTGCCAGGCACAGCCAACATATAGTGTATGGGGCTGAATGGAATCAGGGCTTGGGGCTGTACAAAACACGTAGTATGCACTTGTGAAGCTCTATGGATTGATTTGCCTTCAACTTTGGTTCCATTTCGTGCTCCTGAGTTCAGGTCGTCTAATGGCAGTCATAACGATAAGCCGTATCATCCTAAAGAATCACAGAGCGGTTATTCTCACTAGAAATGCTATGGTGTTCGGTCATGCTGTATGGGAATCTACACAAACGCATGCATTCAGCTGACGTCCTAATGATCGACCACCCCAGTGGTATTTCATCATGCCTTGGGTGCTGCTGGGGCAATCGGAGATCCCGAGATTCCCTCTGGCCCGTTACTCCCTGCCGTCGTCGTCGCAGCGGCGGTCAGCGCGGCGGCAGCGGCGGCGGCGGACCCAATCTTGACTCCGCCGGCTGCTTTCAACGCGCCGCCGATCTTAGCCGCTGCCGCCACTGAGCCGGCTAACGCGGCGCGCACGATCACTCCGAAATTCGGAGCCATGGTTGAGCGCAGCGTGCCTCCTTGTCCTCTCGAGCTCGGTTGTCAAATATTCAAGCCCAATTTGCTTGTCAAACCAATACGACAAGCTTATTGGTCAGCTTGGCCACCTTTCGACTTGACGAGCTGGAAAGTCGACTCTACTGCTGTTGAACAAAACACGTGAGCTTTCCTAGGAATGAGCGTGCATATCAGTAGCGAGTCGCGTTTTGATCAGATCATTGCATGAAGAGCTAAAGCTGCGGCGCTGAATGCTCGTGGTGAATGCAAGAGAATAGATTTTGGGAGCCATGGAAACTTGTGATCAGTAGACTTGCGTGCGTGGAGAGATACGCTGTTATTAGAATCCTCGATATAAACTGCAGAATCGAAACCTCTACAGTGTGTGGAACGTATGCATATTGTTCGCTATTGGATGGGCATTTTTGGACGGTATCGACAGAACTTCGGCAACCAGTCGATCTCATTTTGCAGCGCAACTCGTGCGCGCGCACCCCGCCACCTTTCTACGCCGTGCGCCACCCCTCCCCCTGCGAAACATTTTCGACCGTTCGCGAGGAAATGACGAACCGCCGTGCTTTCTTTTCTTCAATTCCAACGGGCAGTGGTTTTTACAGGCCTCCTGCCACGCGATCGCGCCCGATTCCCGCGGTCAGTTTTCGCCATCAATATTCATTTTGTTTTTTTTTTACGAGTTTTTCGATGAGTGACGGTTTCTGCCCCAGGAGAGAAATACATCTGACTTCCCTGAATAATCATTACGCCACCCAGGAAACACGTTCAGAACAGTGCAAACAATCATTTTGCGCTGACATTTTCCCTCAACCGTGGAAACACAGTACTTGACCTTGACGGGCGCGCAGTTTTCCCGCCACTACACCCTCTTATTCGTTTATCTCACCAAGCGCATTTCGGTTGGAGGTGCTTGTCATTTTTGCCAGGTGCTTTAACGTCTAAGAGTCACATTTCCCTGCTTGTTGCCGTCCCTTGCTCCCAAAATGTGGCTGTAAATACGTTTTTGCAACTGTAGGCCGGCCTGACCTGATCATACCTTAATCATTTGGCCTCGTCTTTAGCGCGAATGCGTGTAACTGTAGCGTTATTCCACCAATTTTCTTCAACATTTAGCAATTCAATGCTGATCTGACCACGCGTGTGATTCGATTCTATGTGACATAAACGCATCGCTCCCAACCTTCTATGTGAACGTACCGAGCAGGTGGCATAATCGCGGGTGCACCAAACGAATAAGAGGGTGTAACGTGATCTGTGTGGCCCCGTAACAAGCACGCGGATGGCCCGTCTAATAGCACGTGTGAATGATTAGACGGGCCATCCGCGTGCTTGTTACGGGCCACACAGATCACGTTAGTGGCGGGAAAACTGCGCGCCCGTCAAGGTCAAGTACCGTGTTTCCACGGTTGAGGGAAAATGTCAGCGCGAAATGATTGTTTGCACTGTTCTGAACGTGTTTCCTGGGTGGCGTATGATTATTCAGGGAAGTCAGATGTATTTCTCTCCTGGGGCAGAAACCGTCACTCATCGAAAAACTCGTAAAAAACAACAAAATGAGTATTGATGGCGAAAACTGACCGCGGGAATCGGGCGCGATCGCGTGGCAGGAGGCCTGTAAAAACCACTGCCCGTTGGAATTGAAGAAAAGAAAGCACGGCGGTTCGTCATTTCCTCACCGTTCGCGCTCAGTGGAGTGGAGTATTTCGCGCGCAATCCAGGAATTGGGAATGGAAAAACAGTGATGGGGAGGGGAGAGTGCATGTGAAAGCGTGTTTCTGATCAGGCTGGCCATTTCTCGAGGTTCGACAATCCCCAGGCGGAAAAGCTCGAGGTTTCAGCCTGGAAGCAGGAAGCATGGGTCGAACGGCGTGAAGCATTCCTAAGAACTAACGACAGCGGCGAACTCTGCGACTATTGTAGGTTCAGCGGTTATTAGAACAGCTTGTTTCGGGCTTTAGTTCTTGCTGAGTCAAGATCCACCTTGCGAAGGAGGTTATTTGATTAAAATCCGATCGTTGATACTCTTCGTCTGACATCTCACAGCGATCGTCGTTGCAATCGTAGCAGCAGTTAGACATTGAGGTTCTTCACGTCGGTCTTATCGCCGCGTTAGTGCCTACATCTCTGCCGTACACCCGTTCAGGTCGTTTCTTCGTACACTTTTTTTTTCAACACATCTTCCAGCCTGAAGTCAAGCCGCGTGTGACTGTGTACTTTTCTTTCTTTCTTTCCATTCGATCTCTTACCTGATTCCAGTGACTCATTCTACCGTTAAATCGCCAATTGCTCACGTCCACCTCACGCCGTACGATTGACTACCCTCGTTACCAATCACCGCCGTCGGATCTCGGGACGACCATCTCCCCATTCCGCCATGCCTCCGCGCGCCAGAAGAGGCGGGGCTTCTCGCAAGGCCCCCGCATCCACCTCTGCCCGCAGAAAGGCTTCCCCCGTCGCGGTTTCCGCTTCCCCCGCTTCGCAGCGCGGTGCTTCCGACAGCCCCAGCGTTGCTGAGGTTCCTATCACTGCGTCGCCGCTCGCGCTGCCTGGGAAATCCGCTGGAAAATCTCCTGCAAAATCTCCTGGGGGTCGTGCTTCGGGTTCTCCTGGGACTGCGCAGGCGGTTGACGGGTCGCCAGGGCAGACCAGCAGACAGCTGCGGAGCCAGAAGCCTGGAGAGTCTCCGAGCGTGCCGAACGGAGGGTCGCCGAAACCTCGGGGAAGGAAGCGAGGGTCGTCAGACGGAGAGAAGGACGCTAAGAGGCCGAAGGCAGGCGAGAAGGCCAAGGGAGGTGAGTTCGCGGAGGGGTTGGGGGGTAAAGGGGGGTTTGGGGTTGAACAGATGGGAGGAGGAAGAAGGAGGCGGGAGAGGGGGTTGGGGGTGGAGAGAGGGAAGGATGAGATGTAAATGGTTTTGACGTATGTTCGCTGTCATATATTTAATTTCAGATGTCATGGCAATTTCATACAGACTGGTGCCTTGCACACGACTCACTCGCGCCTCTCCTCTCTCCTCCCACCCAGCCGCGTCACCAGCAGGAAAGGCCGCAGCAGCAGCAGGGGCAGTAGCATCACCAGCAGCACGGAAGGCAGGGAAGGCCGGGAAAGCGGGGAAAGAAGGGGAAGCGGGGAAAGAAGGGGAAGCGGGGAAAGAAGGGGAAGGAGGGGAAGCAGAGGAGACGGTGAAGCAGGAAGACGCAGATGAGGCTGTAGAGAGAGAGGACGAGGGGGACGCGGACGAAGAGCAGGGAGGTTCAGGCGAGGAGTCCCCAGCAGAAGGGGAGCAGCAACGGCGGGGCGCGCGCAGAGCACGCGGAGAAGGCAGGGGGGGAGCGGGAGGCGCAAGCAGCGGCGCAAGGGCTCGTGGACGGGGTCGTGGGGCGCGGGGGAGGGGGGGGAAGGCTGGCGCTGGCCTTGTTTCCCCTGACCGCCCCATGTCCCCAGGGGGAGCGGCAGGCGCGGGGAAGGGAAGAGGCCCCAGGAAGCGGTCCCCTGCTCCCCCTATCCATGCTGATGGGGAGGCAGGCGGAGCGGGGAAAGGGGGAAGGGGCGGGGGGACGGCGGGAGGGGCGGGGAGAGGCGGGGAGGAGCTGCAGGAGGTGGTGCATGAGGCTGGGGCGGCGGGGAGTGCGATTGTGAGGGATGAGAAGGCGTTGGACTCGGTTGTGAAGGTGTTCTGCGTGCACACTGACCCTAACTTCTCCCTCCCCTGGCAGCGCAAGAGACAGTACAGGTAGGTTGGTTGACGACTGGGTGCTTGCAATGGCTGGGTGTTTCGGTTTCCTACCTGTCCTTGACCCATTGTCCTTCCTCTTCCCTCAACAATCCGCCTTCCTCCCTCACCCGTTCCTTATCTTTGCTCGTTCATCATCTCCCTTCCCTTTCCTTCCCGTCCCCATCCCCCCCTGGCTCCCTTCCCTTCCTACTCCCTGTGCGCACCACAGTTCCAACAGCAGCGGGTTCATAATTGAGAACCGCCGTGTGCTCACCAACGCGCACTCCGTGGAGCACCACACGCAGGTGGGAACGAGATGAGCAGCACAGGTACAGATGCACAGGTAGAAACATTTGCAGTCAGGTGGGAAGCACAGTCAGATCAACATATGCTTCCACTCGCCTCCCCATTTCCATGTTCCTCCTGCTCCCGAATCTCCAGTCCTTTTCTTTTCCTCCACACCCTTGCACCGCACCCTTTCTCCACGATCCACCTCGCAGGTGAAGGTGAAGAAGAGGGAATCAGACACCAGCCCTTCTCTTTCGTATTATCCTCTGCGCTCTCCCTTCCCTCCTCCACCCCGCAGGTGAAGGTTAAGAAGCGGGGATCAGACACCAAGTATCTGGCTACTGTGCTCGCTGTGGGCACTGAGTGTGATATAGGTATGCATACTCGCTCTCTTTTTAACTAGGTATGTGATGTTTCCTAGTTTTAAACCATATCCATTCTTCTTCCTGTGTCTTCCATGTGTCCTTTTCATCCTCCTCATTAACCCCTCGTTATTCTCCCCGCCTCCTCCACCCATGTGTACCCCTTGTCCCTGCCCCGTTATTCATAATCGTGTCTTCCATGAAACTTGCGGGATGCAGCGCTGCTCTCGGTGGAGGACGATGAGTTCTGGAACGACGTGCAGCCTTGTCCCATTCATATCCACCTCTCTCGTTATCCTCTCGTGTTCCTCCCGTTCCCGGCACACATTCACAAGGAATGCAGCGCCGCTGTCGATGGAGGATGAGCCTTGTCCCATTAGCTCGTCTCCCTCGTCACCCCTCTCACGTCCGCTTTTTCCCCTCGCTGCACTCACTCACACGGAATGCAGTGCAACGCTGCTCTCAGTGGAGGTCGATGAGTTCTGGAAGGACGTGCAGCCGTGTCCCATTCACGCATCCCCGTCGTCAACCCCTCCAACCCCCATTCATCCCGTCTCCCCCCCCTCTCCCCACCCCCTGCACTCGCACGCAATGCGCTGCTGTCAGTGGAGGATGACGAGTTCTGGAAGGACGTGCAGCCTTGTCTCATTCGCTCACCCCTCTCGTCAACCCCTCCCACCTCCCCTTTTTTCCCCTCGGTGCCCTCGCTTTTACGGCATGCAGCACTGCTCTCGGTGGAGGACGACGAGTTCTGGAAGGACGTGCAGCCTTGGGCCATTCACTCATCCCCCTCGTTATCCCCATGCATTCCATTCGTGTTCCTCCCCTCCCCACCATGCACTCGCACGCAATGCAGCGCTGCTCTCGGTGGAGGACGATGAGTTCTGGAAGGACGTGCAGCCTCTCAAGCTGGGGTCTCTCCCGCACCTGCAGGTATGCTTGAGCTTGCTTCCGCACTTGTAGGTGTTTCTTGTTTTTTTTTTTTTCACACCTGGGGTTGTATCCGCACCTGCAGGCATGGTTGTGATCGCCACTGCAGACGGATCACTTTGAAGCAGCATCACCCAGCGGTGATTGTTCGTGCGGCTCTAGTGCTTCATTGACCAACACTACTTCAACCCCTCCCTTCCTCCTCCCCACCCCCCCAGGACCCGGTGACGGTGGTGGGTTACCCGATAGGCGGCGACACCATCTCGGTCACAAGTGGCGTCGTCTCGCGCATAGAGGTGACAGCGTACGTGCACGGGGCGTCAGAGCTGCTGGGCGTGCAGATCGATGCTGCCATCAACCAACTCAAGGGGGCACTATCCCCATCCCCAGGCGCCTTCACTCCCTCTCTTCCCTTGACCCTCTCCCCTCCCCCTCTTACCCCGACCCCCTCCCCCCCCCCCCGCCGCTCCCCTTACCCTTCCAGGACCCTGTAACGGTTGTTGGGTATCCGATAGCAGGAGACACCATATCAGTCACAAGCGGCGTAGTCTCACGAATCGAGGTCACAGCGTACGTGCACGGGGCGTCAGAGCTGCACCCCCCCCCACTGCCCCTGTTCCCCAACCCTCCCCTCCCCCACCAGGACCCTGTGACGGTGGTGGGGTACCCCATAGGCGGAGACACCATATCAGTCACGAGCGGAGTGGTCTCGTGCATAGAGGTGACAGCGTACGTGCACGGGGCGTCAGAGCTGCTGGGCGTGCAGATCGACGCTGCCATCAACTCGGGCAACTCGGGCGGGCACTCTCCCCATCCCCACGCCCCTTCACTCCCCCTCTTCCCCAACCCTCACATCCTCCTTCCCTCCCTCCCCCTTCCCCCTACAGGACCCGGTGACCGTCGTGGGGTACCCCATAGGCGGAGACACAATCTGTGACCAGTGGAGTGGTCTCACGAATCGAGGTGACAGCGTACGTGCACGGGGCGTCAGAGCTGCTGGGCGTGCAGATCGACGCCGCCATCAACTCGGGCAACTCGGGCGGGCACTCTCCCCATCCCCACGCCCCTTCACTCCCCCTCTTCCCCAACCCTCCCTTCCTCCTTCCCTCCCTCCCCCTTCCCCCTACAGGACCCGGTGACCGTCGTGGGGTACCCCATAGGCGGAGACACAATCTCAGTGACCAGTGGAGTGGTCTCACGAATCGAGGTGACAGCGTACGTGCACGGGGCGTCAGAGCTGCTGGGCGTGCAGATCGACGCCGCCATCAACTCAGGGAACTCGGGCGGGCCGGCGTTCAACGCGGCGGGCGAGTGTGTGGGGATCGCGTTCCAGTCGATGCGCGGCGAGGAGGCGGAGAACATCGGTTACATCATCCCCACACCGGTTATCCACCATTTTATCTCGGATTATGATCGCAACGGCCACTACACCGGTGGGTACCGCTCTGTACCGTACCGTATGGGCTTGATTCAACGCGGCGGGCGAGTGTGTGGGGATTGCCTTCCAGTCGATGCGCGGCGAGGAGGCGGAGAACATTGGGTACATCATCCCCACGCCCGTCATCCACCACTTCATCTCGGATTACGATCGCAATGGGCACTACACTGGTGGGTACCGCTCTGTACCGTACCGTATGGGCTTGCTTCAATGCGGCGGGCGAGTGTGTGGGGATCGCCTTCCAGTCGATGCGCGGCGAGGAGGCGGAGAACATCGGGTATATCATCCCCACGCCTGTTATCCACCACTTCATCTCCGATTATGATCGCAACGGCCACTACACCGGTGGGTGACGTATGTGCTCGCTCGCTTGTTTCTGTGCCTTGAGGTGAGCTGTCAGGTTTGGGGAATTCGTGCGGGCCAGCATTCAATGCGGCACAAGAGAGATGCATGCATTGTGTTGTGATTATAAAATCCGCACCGTCTATATTCTCTCCGCTCTCTCTGCCCTTCTCTCGTCCCTCACTCTTTGCTCTCCAGGGTTCCCCATTCTGGGCGTGGAGTGGCAGAAGATGGAGAATCCAGACATGCGCAAGGCGCTGGGGATGGAGGCGGGGCAGAAGGGTGAACGTTGACTCACCTCAACCCGCCCCTGCTCCCGTGCCCTCCCCACTCCCACACCCATTCGCACTCGCTCCTGCGTGCTTTACTCCCCAGGTTTCCTCATTTTAGGAGTGGAGTGGCAGAAGATGGAGAATCCAGACATGCGCAAGGCACTGGGCATGGAGGCGGGGCAGAAGGGCGAACGTTGACTCACCTCAACCCGCCCCTGCTCCCGTGCCCTCCCCACTCCCACACCCCACTCCCACTCCCTCCTGCGTGCTTTACACTCCAGGTTTCCCCATTTTGGGAGTGGAGTGGCAGAAAATGGAGAACCCAGACATGCGCAAGGCGCTGGGGATGGAAGGGGGGGCAGAAGATGATGGGTTGTGAACTCACCCCTGCTCCCTTTCCTTGCTCTCCAGGGTTCCCCATCCTAGGAGTGGAGTGGCAGAAGATGGAGAATCCAGACATGCGCAAGGCGCTGGGCATGGAGGCGGGGCAGAAGGGCGTGAGGGTGAGGCGCCTGGAGCCCACCTCGCCTGCCGCCCAGCTGCTGCAGACTTCAGACATCCTTCTCTCGTTTGATGGCGTCGCAGTGGCAAATGATGGCACAGGTGTGTCCCCATCTTTGCCAGCTTGGTGTTGACCAGTGATGGCACATGTGCATGTGATTGTAGCTAGTTTGGAGATGTCTCAAAGCTCGACGTGGGGATGGAGGCGGGGCAGAAGGGCGTGAGGGTGAGGCGCCTGGAGCCCACCTCGCCTGCCGCGCAGCTGCTGCAGACTTCAGACATCCTGCTGTCGTTTGATGGCGTCGCAGTGGCAAATGACGGCACAGGTGCGTGTGATGGAAGCTGGTTAGGACTCTGCAGACGTCGCAACTTCCCTGCGGCCCAGCTGCTGCAGACGTCAGACATTCTGCTGTCCTTCGATGGCGTTGCTGTCGCCAACGATGGCACAGGTGCGTGTGCGGGTGATAGTAAGCATTGTATGACGTCGCTACTTCCCTGCTGCCCAGCTGCTGCAGACGTCCGACATCCTGCTGTCCGTCGATGGCGTTGCAGTTGCCTTGCCAACGATCGCGCAGGTGTGTGTTTAGTTAAGATGGCTTGTTTGGTGGTGGGTGGAGTGGCGGCTCAGATGTGTGTGATCGTATTCTGGTTTGCGCTTTGACGAGATGTCTCAATGGAGTGTGGGTGGCCCGACCCAGCTGCTGCAGACCTCAGACATCCTACTGTCCTTTGATCGTATGATGGCACATGTGCATGTTATAGTGATCCACAACCCACTTCTTGCAATTCCCCCACCTCAGTTCCCCGCCGCTTCTCCCTCCTCTCCTTTTCCCGATCCGCCCCCGTCCCCACCCCACGCCCCCCCCTACCCCGGCCTGCATCCCCAACCCCAACCCCCCCCCCCCCCCCCCCCCCTCCACTTTCTTCAGGGCGAGACAGCACTGATCAACGTGCTGTAATAAGATTGTTTTTGATACGTCTCGGAAACAATCTTATTACATGCTAAAGTACGACGAGGGCGAGACGGCACAGATCAACGTGCTGCTCTCTGGCACGCTGGTTGAGCACCCTCGCCTACCAACTCCTTGCAAACCCGCTGACCCAACCCCCGCTCCTCCTCCCTCCTCTCCCCCTGCTCTGCATCCCCTTCCCCCCTCCCACTCTTCCTCACCAGTGCCGTTCCGCAAGGGCGAGCACATAGGCTTCAGCTACCTGGTGTCTCACAAGTACGAGGGGGAGACAGCACAGATCAACGTGCTGCGGGCCGGCAAGGTGCTGCAGAGCCCTCACCAACCAACTCCTTGCAAACCCTCTGTCCTGGCCCCCGTTCCTCCTCCTCCCTCCTCTCCCCTCCCGCATGCGCCTCTCTCCCCCTGCCCTGCATCCCCTCCTCCCCCCACCTTTCTCAACCCGCAGTGCCGTTCCGCAAGGGCGAGCGCATAGGCTTCAGCTACCTGGTGTCTCAGAAGTACGAGGGGGAGACGGCACAGATCAACGTGCTCAGGGCCGGCAAGGTGCTGCAGCTGCAGGTGGAGCTGAGGCGCCACAAGCGCATGGTGCCCGTGCACATTGCGGGGCTGCCTCCGTCCTACTTCATTGTGGCTGGGATTGTCTTCACCTGGGTCACTGTGCCCTATCTCAAGGCAGAGGTGAGGGTCTGCACTGAGGCGATCTAGTGCGTGGGCAAGCAAGGTGCTTCGGCTGCAGGTGGAGGTGAGGAGGCACAAGCGCATGGTGCCCGTGCACATCGCAGGGCTTCCCCCTTCATACTTCATTGTCGCGGGGATCGTGTTCACCTGGGTCACTGTGCCGTATTTGAAGGCCGAGGTGAGTCGGTGTGTGAAGGAGAGCTTGAGAGGCGGGCTTTTAGCAGCACCAGCGGCTGGTGCCCTTGGGCCCACAGCAACGTGCTGCAGCTGCAGGCGCGCGCCTTCGTCCGCGCGCGCGCGCCTTGGTCCGCGCGCGCGCCTTGGTCCAGGCGCGCGCCTTGGTCCGCGCGCCGCCTTGGTCCGCGCGCGCGCCTTGGTCCGCGCGCGCGCCTTGGTCCGCGCGCGCGCCTTGGTCCTCGCGCGCGCCTTGTTCCGCGCGCCGCCTTGGTCCGCGCGCGCGCCTTGGTCCGCGCGCGCGCCTTGGTCCGCGCGCGAGACTTGGCACAAGCGCATGGTGCCCGTGCACATTGCAGGGCTCCCTCCTTCATACTTTATCGTGGCTGGGATTGTCTTCACCTGGGTCACTGTGCCGTACTTGAAAGCCGAGGTGAGGGCTTGTTTGTTGTAAGGTGTCCGAGGGCCTGATGGGGCAAGGTGCTGCAGCTGCAGGTGGAGCTGCGGTGCTCTAGCACTCAGAGCAAGGTGACTTTCAAGGCGCTCTAGCGATTAGAGCAGGGTGCCTGTAGAGACTCCTCAAAAGGCGCCCACAGCAAGGTGCTGTAGCTGCAGGTGGACTTGCAGCGCCACAAGCTTTTGAGTCGACCCAAAAGGTGACTTTTGACTTTTGAGTCGACTCAAAAGTCACCTTGTAGCTGCAGGTGGACTTGCAGCGCCACAAGCGGCTGGTGCCGGTGCACACTGCGGGGCTGCCTCCCTCCTATTTCATCGTTGCCGGGATTGTGTTTACTTGGGTCACTGTGCCCTACCTCAGGGCAGAGCTGAGGGCTCGTTTTTAAGAATTCTCAAGAACGTGCCTGCTGGCAGCATGGTAAGGAACATGGGTATGTTGTGGTGCACTTGTGGGCTGCACCTGCGGGGCGCACCATCCCCAGTCAACCCAACCACCCATCCACCCCCCCCTTGCTTGCTGTTTGTTTGCTGCTTGTCGCCTGCTGGCAGTACGGTAACGAATATGGGTATGATTCTACTGCATCAGCGGAGTGACTTTTGAGTCGACTCAAAAGTCACCGCAGTACGGTAAAGAATATGGGTATGATTCTAGTGCATCAGCGGGGTGCACCATTTTTTAGGGGCCTCAAGAATATGGGTATGATTATGGTGCGCTAATGGGATGCACCGTCCTCATTCAACCCACCCATCCATCCACCCCCCTCTTGCGTGCTTGCTTGCTTGCTTGCTGGCAGTACGGCAAGGACTATGACTACGATGCGCCGGTGAACCCTCCATTATCCCCTACCCGTTGTTCCCTCGTGTTGGCTCCTAACAGTACGGCAAGGACTATGACTACGATGCGCCGGTGAACCCTCCATTATCCCTCCCCGTTGTTCCCTCGTGTTGGCTCCTAACAGTACGGCAAGGACTATGACTATGATGCACCAGTGAAGCTGCTGGATAAGCTGATGCATGTGATTGCAGAGTGACATTTCCTCCCAAGCCCCCCATTATCCCCTACCCTCTCTGTGCTTCCCAACAGTACGGCAAGGACTATGACTACGATGCGCCGGTGAAGCTGCTGGACAAGCTGATGCACCGCATGAGACAATTGGAGAGTCCTTTCTTTCCAACCCTCCCACCCATTAACCATCCATTATCCCCTGACCTATGTGCTTGTGTGCATGCTTCCTAACAGTACGGCAAGGACTATGACTATGATGCACCGGTGAAGCTGCTCGACAAGCTGATGCACCGCATGAGACAGTCGGACGACGAGCAAGTTGTTGTCATCTCACAGGTGTGTGACTATAATGAGTGAGTGGTGTGAGACTAGCAGGTGGTATGTAATGAGTGCGTGACTGTAGCAGGTGGTCGACTTTTCACGGGTGATGCACCGCATGAGGCAGTCAGACGATGAGCAGGTGGTGGTCATCTCAAAGGTGTGTGACTGTGATGAGTGTGTGACTGTAGCAGGTGGACGTCATCTCACAGGTGGGTGTTACATCTAGTTTGTGATTGTAACAGGGGGGTGCCAGGCAAGGGTGGTTGTATCACGTGTATGATTGTGGTGCCATGTGATTGAATGAGGTGCCATGTGATTGAATGAGGTGGCATGTGATTGAATGAGGTGCCATGTGATTGAATGAGGTGGCTGACTGTTGTACATCTGAATGTTTCGTCGACTCCGACCCCTTTTCCCATGCGCAGGTGCTGGTGGCAGATGTGAACATCGGGGCACGCAGGTATGGGGCGGCTGACTCTCTCGTCCTCCCTGGTATGGGGCGGCTGACTCTCTCGTCCTCCCTCCATCCTCTGTCCACATTCCGTGTATGCCCGTCCCCCATGCGCCTCCCTCATGTGCAGGTGCTGGTAGCGGATGTGAACATCGGGTACGAGGAGGTGGTGAACACACAGGTGGTGGGCTTCAACGGCGAGCCAGTGAAGAAGCATCGTGGCATATGTATCAAGAATAAACCCCTGATGCATGTATGCCCCTTCCCCCACGCCCAGGTGCTGGTGGCGGATGTGAACATAGGCTACGAGGAGGTGGTGAACACACAGGTGGTGGGCTTCAACGGCGAGCCAGTGAAGAAGCATCGTGGCATATGTATCAAGAATAAACCCCTGATGCATGTATGCCCCTTCCCCCACGCCCAGGTGCTGGTGGCGGATGTGAACATAGGCTACGAGGAGGTGGTGAACACGCAGGTGGTGGGCTTCAACGGCGAGCCAGTGAAGAACCTGCTGCAGCTCGCTCGGCTGGTGGACGAGTGCACCGAGCCGTTCATGAAGTTTGACCTGGACTACGAGCAGGTAGGGCTGGGGGATTGCGGTTCAACCAAGGGAAATTGATGTGTTTGGATGTTGAGCTGGCTCGCCTGGTGGACGAGTGCAGTGAGCCGTTCATGAAGTTTCACCTGGACTACGAACAGGTGGGCACGGAGGTTGCGGTTCAGCTGAGGGAGTTTGTTTGTTTGGGTGGCTAAAAGCCATGGCTCGTGGAGGAGTGCACTGAGCCCTTCATGAAGTTTGACCTGGACTACGATCAGGTGGGCCTGGGAAGAATTGCTGTTCCATAAGGGAAATTGATGCGTGGGGGATTGGTGTTTGGGTGTTGAGCTGGCTCGGCTGGTGGACGAGTGCTCTGAGCCGTTCATGAAGTTCGACCTGGACTACGACCAGGTAGGCACAGGGGTTGCTGTTCAATGGACGGAAATTCTGTTTGGATGTCTAAAAGGTGTGGCTGGTGGACGAGTGCACTGAGCCCTTCATGAAGTTCGACCCTGACTGCGATCAGGTGGGCACGGAGGTTGCGAGTCAGCTGAGTGAGTTTGTTTGTTTGGGTGGCTAAAAGCCATGGCTCGTGGAGGAGTGCACTGAGCCGTTCATGAAGTTTGACCTGGACTACGACCAGGTAGGCCTGGGGGATTGCGGTTCAATGGAGGGAAAATGGTGTTTGGGTGTCCGCATGGGTCAGCTGGGGGAGGAGTGCAGTGAGCCGTTCATGAAAGTTTGATCTTGACTAAGACCAGGTAGGGCTGGGAAATTGGTGATTAAGGGATCGGTGCTTGAGTACATGGTACATGTACTAGAAGGCGTGAGGCGTGGTATATGGAGGAGTGCTCTGAGCCCTTCATTAAGTTTGATCTTGACTACGACCAGGTTAGGCGGGCGGGGCTGGGGGGGGATTCTGGGCTGCACTGAGCCGTTTATGCAGTTCATGCCGTTTACGTGAAACATTATGTCCCGCGAGCCACTGGAGCGTACGTCTTGCATGGATGGATGTATTAATGTATGAATGGTCGAGGTCGTGTTTGCAGGTGTTGGTGCTGGAAACGGCTAAGGCCAAGAATGCGACACCTGACATTCTTGCCATGCACTGCATCCCATCGCACTGCTCCAATGACATCAAAGAAGGCCATCTGCCCACCATTGTGTGATGACTGCGATGCGAGGCATGACGTGATCATATAATCAAGACACTTACTGTCCAAGAAAGTGCTTACAGGCAGTAGAATTAGCCGGTCTTGCTAATTTGCTCACAAGAATCGCAAGGATGTCAAAGGTAACCTTCTTGTTGTGTAGATCACTAACATTGAATTGCTCGTACTCTGATTACAGACAATAATGTAGTATAGTAACTAATTCGATATGGCGCTCATACAGTAATTAGCATGGAATTCTTGGCTCGGCATTTCCCAGGACTTGCCCCCTGCTCGGGCAAGGCAGCACCGCCATCCGCCAGTGCTTTGAGCTTCAACTGCAAATATGAACTAATTTCCGCGCATCGGCTCCCGAGCAGTTCAGTTCAGTTTAGCGACGATAATTATTTATCAGGATCAAACATCTATTTAAAATTGTGCATCTTCGTCATCGGGGGAGTCTACTCAATTCGACTGATGTTCACGCTCGCGCTGAGTCTCGCTTTCGCGGTGTCTGGCCAATCTCGTTGTCGCACTCGATTAGTGTGATTGTTCCTTCCGTGGTGCTAAGTATCGCCGAGCTGGACTGAAGATCGACGAGCGTAATGCGTTTCAGGCTCCGGGCTCTTTCTCGCCGCTCGTCATGCCAGTGCTAACCCTAGGACAAGTCTAAGACTCTGTACCTAATCTCGACTCGTTTCGAGCCGCCTTACTCGCGCGACATCGACCTAAATCCATCAATGCTTAAAGACTGCACCATGCGTACTTGTTCACTAATTCATGTCGTTTCCATCGTCAGCGTCGCATTACTGCTGGTACCTCGGTCGCTAGCCGTCGGCGATCATCTAGACGGCGGGAGGTTGCAAGCAGACGAAGGGCTCAAGCGCGGTCACGAGCTCTTCAAGGTGCGTTTCTCTGCTGGTTTGCTGCGGCCGGAAACCTCTTTTTGAGTCGACTCAAAAGCAGGTCGCAAGCAGACGAAGGGCTCAAGCGCGGCCACGAGCTCTTCAAGGTGCGTCGTTCGATGGTTCAGTCATCTGGTTATTTTAAGCACATGTCGAGGTGCCTCACAATACCCCTTTGAACCGCACTCTCCCCCCATTTCCCCAACACTTCATGCCAATTCCTTTCCTCCTGACTTTAACCCTTCCTGCCAATCCCTCCCCCCTTTTCCCAAACACTTTCTTTCGCTCACAGCAATGGGAGGAGGCGTACGGGCTGCAAAAAGAGTCCCTTCTGCCCCCGGAGAAGATTTCCCTGCCCGCTGACGTGGCAGCAGCTCCGCATTTGGAGGCGTGCAGCGAGGTATCGGCGCACAGACGGGCAGCGGAGGATCGAGGGCCTAATGGGGAGTCCCCTGAGTGGGCTCGACCTAAAGACTGCTGCGGCTGCAACCCACAGCCACCATGGGTGTGTATGGGTGTGTATGAGATGTGACCGTCTCATGCTTTGCCTCAAGTGTTCTTCTAACCAACAGCATCGGGTTCTGTCACCTTGCTCTCTCAAAAGCTTTCTCTGTCACCTTGCTCTTGATGGGTGTGTATGTGTATGATCAAACAGCGTTCTCAGCCATTGCACGGTTGCCTTGCCCCTCATCCCTCTGCGTCCCGTTCCTCTGTCACCTCATCCCTCTGTCTCCCATCGCATCGCGCCACCTTACCTGCTCTTAACATGAACCGCCTTCCCAACCCCCTTGCCCCGTCTCTCTTGTTACCCCTCCCCGCCTTCCGTACCGCTTACTCCTTGTTTGTTCTCTGCAGATTCGCGGGTCTGACGCAGCCAATCTGGGCATGACACGTGTGGCACAGAGGGACATCTGGGAGCACCAGTTCCCGCCCAATCGGTGTGAGGGGCGGCGCCTGCTCATTGCTCCGTGGTCCTACATCGCCCATGGGATCGGGTCGCAGGTGAATGAGTGTGATGCATTGCGAGTGTGATTTATTGTAATTCACATGTAACTGAGTGTGGTGTACGTGTTTCACTATTGAAACGTTCCATCTCGTAGATACGTTGGTGATGGATTTGGGTCTCAGATGATTAAAAATTTGGTGTTCATAGCTGCAGCATGCATGCATCCAACATTGGCCAATCAGGATGGATCATGGATCTCCATGCGTTTTCTTGTGTTCCGCCTGCCCTCTGCCATGTGCTGTGCCCTAGTACAACAACTGCTCTCTTCTCTCCAGTAGTTGCACGTAACCGTGATGCTTCATAACAACCGTTTACATTTCGTGCAATCTCTGCAACCACCTTTCCCACTTTCCCCCACACCCCTCCCCCCCACCTTCCTGTTCTGTGGCTGTAACTTCCTTTGCTCCCTCCATTCCGCCCCTGTTCATTCCCCCTTCTTTTGAGTCGACTCAAAAGTCCCCCCACCTTCCTGTTTTGTGGCTGTAACTTCCTTTGCTCCCTCCATTCCGCCCCTGTTCATTCCCCCTTCTTTTGAGTCGACTCAAAAGTCCCCCCACCTTCCTGTTCTGTGGCTGTAACTTCCTTCGCTCCCTCCATTTCGCCCCTCTTCGTTCCCCCTTCTCTTCACAAGTGCACATAACTACGGCCATTCTCAGCCTAGCCATGTGCCAGGCCAGAGCCGCATTTCTTATATTCTCTCTCCCCATCCCTTCCCCAAACCTTCCTGCCTCATGAGTCATGACTGCACCCCCCTCCTCTACCTCCTTCCGTCCGCCCTCCCTCTTCGTTCCCCCTTCGCTGCACAGGTGCACATAGTAACGGCCATTCTTACAGCCTGGCCATGCACCACAACCACCTCCTCTGTTTTCCCCTCTCCCCCTCGCTCCTCATCCCCTCCACCCCGCCCTCTTTTTCCCCTTCTCCACGCAGGTGCGCATAGTAACGCCCATTCTCAGCCTGGCCATTCGCCACCACCGCGTTGCCTGCTTTCCCCCCACCCCTCGGCCCCTCGCCCCTCACCCACCCACCCCCCTCCCCCCTTTGCCCCCCTCGTCCCCCCACAGTTGCACATAGTAACGACCATTCTCAGCCTGGCCATGCGCCACAACCACCTTGCCGTCCCCAAATCCCCCTTTCTTCCCACTTCTCTGCACAGTTGCACATAGTGACGGCCATTCTCAGCCTGGCCATGCGCCACAACCGCACGCTGGTTCTCCAGTATCCGTCGTTTGACCGCGCCAAGCACGACGAGTGCAATGGTGAGTGTGCTTATAGCGAGTGCAATGGTGAGTGTGCTTATAGCAAGCAACAGCTGCACCCTAGTGCTGCCATGTATCAGTCTTTTGACCATGCCAAGTACAGCACGTGCAATGGTGAGTATGCTTATAGCGAGTACATCATTCTCACAGCACACACCACAGTCACACGCTGTGTGCCCCTGTGTCCCTCATTCTCTCACCCGATTCCTCAACCCCTTTTCCCCCCCCATCCGCTCCTCACCCTCCTCTCACACATACTACCATCCATCCACATTTCTTTGTAGTAAATTAACTTAATTAATATCGCTTCCCGCCCTCCTTTCACTCCCCGCCCTCCCACCCCACCCCACCCACCGCCGATACGAGCCACAGGGGCGTGGGGCACGCTCAACTGCTGCTTCTTCCCTCTCACCTCCCTTGACTGCGAAGCCATCTCAGGCCAACAGTAACGGGTTGCTCCCTGCCTACTCCCATTCTCCCACCCCTTGCCTCGCCCTCCCCCCTGACCCACCATACCAGCCACAGGAGCATGGGGCACGTTCAACTGCTACTTCTTCCCTCTCACCTCTCCTGACTGCGAAGCCATCGCTCTCAACTCCAACAGCAGCGGGTCGCTGCCGCCCTGCTGCACGCCCAGCACCAAGGAGGAGGTGCTAGCATCGGACCATCCCATCGTGTGCTTCCATGGGGAGCCCTTCAATGGGCTTCAGTTCGAAGCCAGCATTGCCAGGTGAGGGTGGGGTGGGGGCGATGGGATGGGATGGATGGGAGCAGCAGCAGCAGCAGGCGTTTGATCGCACCAACCACCACCCAGCACCCGCCACTTCCAGCAAGCAGCAAGGAGGAGGTGCTTGCATCAGACCAGACCATCCCATCAGCACCGGATCGCTGCCGCCCTGCTGCACGCCCAGCAGCAAGGAGGAGGTGCTAGCATCGGATCACCCCATTGTGTGCTTCCATGGGGAGCCCTTCAACGGGCTTCAGTTCGAAGCCAGCATTGCCAGGTGAGGGTGGGGGACGATGGGATGGGAGAAACAGCAGCAGCAGGCCTTTGATGATTTGATCACGGCCTTTGATGATTTGACCACTGCCTTTGATGATTTGATCACGGCCTTTGATGATTTGATCACGGCCTTTGATGATTTGATCACAGCCTTTGATGATTTGATCACGGCCGTTGATGATTTGATCACGGCCTTTGATGATTTGATCACAGCCTTTGATGATTTGATCACACCAATCACCACCCAGCACCCGCCACTTCCAGCAAGCACCAAGGAGGAGGTGCTTGCATCGGACCAGACCATCCCATTGTGTGCTTCCATGGGGAGCCCTTCAATGGGCTTCAGTTCGAAGCCAGCATTCCCAGGTGGGAGAGTGGGATGAGCGGGATGAGTGAGAGACATCTGTCCTCCTGTTCCCTGTGCCTGCCCCTAACAGCAAGTGGGACACATCCCACTAGGAGGAGCGACTATGGAACAAGTTTTAGCACACATTGCACGCTTCACTTCCCTCCCCTATGTCTGCCCCTAACAGCAAGTGAGACACAGCCTACCTGGAACGACCGAGTGACCTTGTGTCACATAATAGACGGCTCAGCAAAGAAGCCTCTCTCCCATTCCCTCCCCCCCCTCTGTGTGTTTCCTTGCAGCAAGTGGGGTACGGCGTACTTGGAGCGGCCTAACATGATAGAGCTGCAGGGGCAGGTGGAGAGAGACAACCCGCAGCACATCAAGGTGCGTTGGAGTGGGGTGTGGTGATGTGGGTCAATGGAGAGGTGGTGTGCGGTGATGTATTCATGGCGTAATGGAGCTGCAGGGGCAGGTGGAGAGGGACAATTCGCAGCACCATAAGGTGAGACATGTGTGGGGTGGTGTGCGGTGATGTGGGTCAATGGAGAGGTAGTGTGCGGTGATGTGTTCTAAGGTGTGGTGGAGCTGCAGGGGCAGGTGGAGAGGGATGATCCCCAGCAGCTCAAGGTGCGTTGGAGTGGGGTGTCAGTGTGGGTTGATGGAGGGGTGTTTGTGTCTCGTCAGTCGGAACAACATGATAGAGCTGCAGGTGCAGGTGCTGATGTGTAGGGTGGGGTGTGGTGATGTGGGTCAATGGAGAGGTGGTGTGTGGTGATGTGTGTTTCAATTCAAGGCGTGGAGCTGCAGAGGCAGGTGGAGAGGGACAATCCCAAGCTGCTCAAGGTGAGAGATGCAGAGAGTGGAGCCCAACCTTTCCCCATTAAGCCATTAAGCCCTTTCCGCAGTCCACCCTTTCCCCATTAAGCCACCACCCACAACCTCCTTTTCCTTCGCCTTCAAGCACTCTCAGGTGCACTGGTGGTGCAGCCAGCCAGGCCCTGCTGCGCTCATGCTGCGATGGTCCTCACCAATCTCACCAACCGCATCCGATCTCCCTCAAATCCCCTCTTTCCCCCTTTCCCCCCAGGTGCACTGGTGGCGCAGCCAGGCGCTGCGCTTCATGCTGCGCTGGCCCTCGCCGTACCTCTGCCATCTCACCAACCGCATTCGCCACGGCTCATACGGGCTGCGTGTTGCTACCCACACGGTGCAAGCCCGCGATCGCAGCGCTGCCCTCCTCAGACTCTACAACGACCACCTCGCTGCTGCCTCCTCCTCTTCACCCCCTGCTGCTGCCTCCTCAACGTCTCTCCGCCCCCTCAGTCTCAACCACACCGATCCATCTTTCCTTTCCTTTGCCGACCCAGCCGTGCACGTCCGGGCCTGGCCCGGGCTCGGCGTCGCGAGCTGCTCAGGCTCGGCGAGCTCTCCCGGGCCTGCACCCACCTTCCGAGCCTATCTGACGAGCCTGTACGAGAGGGTGGGGCGAGAGGTGTACATGCCTCGGCCGATGGTGAGCCTGCACATCCGGCAGGGCGACAAGGGGAGTGAGATGAAGCTGAGCTCATTCAACTCCTTCATGTTCTATATGCACCGCCTCAGACTCCACGTTCCTGACATCCGATTCGTGTGGATCAGCACTGAAATGCAGGTGAGGGTTTCCTAAGGTGAGGTGCTCTCAAGGGTTCCGTGCATGAATATCATAACTAGCGGTCATTCAACTCCTTCATGTTCTATATGCACCGCCTCAGACTCCACGTTCCTGACATCCGATTCGTGTGGATCAGCACTGAAATGCAGGTGAGGCAGACTCAAGGTGAGGTATTCCCTAGGTTAGGTGGTCGTTAAGTGAGGTATTCCCAAGGGCGGTCTCAGGATGAGGTATTTCCAAGGTGAGGCGGTCTCAAGGTGAGGCAATCCCAAGGTGAGGCAATCCCAAGGTGAGGCAATCCCAAGGTGAGGTGTTCCTATGGTGGAACAGTCCCCTTCCCCTCTCCTTTCCCTCTAACCCACCTCTCCTGTCAAGACTGTGATTACCCAATCAGCACAATTCAATTATTGGACCTTCTTCTACTCGCAGAACAGGAGGCAGCACTGCGACCCTCCTCCACCCCCTACTCACTCTCTCTTCCCCCCCTCCCCACCCTCCCCCTTCGTTTCCGTTCTTTACCTATCTCTCCCACACGCCTCAACTTGACCCCGCGTCCCCTTGCTCCTCTCCCAGTCTGTGATCGACCAATCAGCGCAGTTCAAGGACTGGACCTTCTTCTACTCGCAAAACAAGAGGACTTCTGAGTCGACTAAAAAGTCACCTTAGTCTTCTCATTCTTTCCCCTTCTCCTCTATCTAACCCTCCTCTCCTGCCCAGTCCGTGATCGACCAATCAACGCAGTTCAAAGACTGGACTTTCTTCTACTCGCAGAACGAGAGGCAGCTGGGCGACATGCGGCTGATAGACTATGAGAAGAAGTGTGGGAGGGCACAGCTGGTGGGGGTGAGCTTTGCCAACTTGCTCATCTCATCGGAGTGCGACTACTATGTGGGCGTGCTTGGGTCCAACTGGAACAGGTTGATCAATGAGATGCGGGCCACGAGCGGACGGGTGTTTGCGGGGTATGTCGCGATCAACAATGGTGAATTCTAGTTGGGTCCACGTTTTGTATGAACGTTCTGGTTGATACGGTACTCAACTCACGTCTACTTATGTTGTGGCCTATCAAATGCAAGTAAATGCACGTGACGTGAAAGGAAGTGTGGGAGGGCACAGCTGGTGGGGGTGAGCTTTGCCAACCTGCTCATCTCATGGAGTGCGACTACTATGTGGGCGTGCTTGGGTCCAACTGGAACAGGCTGATCAATGAGATGAGGGCCACGAGTGGACGGGTGTTTGCGGGGTATGTCGCGATCAACAATGGTGAATTCTAGCTGCGGCTTGTATGTTGTGGTTGAGAGACTCACTTCTAGTTGTGGCTGTCAGATGCAAATTACAGGTACTTTCCATGTCACAATAAACGCAAGTGTTAGGAGGGGGCATCATAGCCTACGACGTAAGAGGTGCATACGATACAATCTATGCATCAGTAGTAAGGGGGTAAACGTAACACAACACACAGTTCCAGTGGACAATCCAATAATGTACAATTCCTCCTAATTTAGGGGCTCAACCAAATCAGGGGGCTCAACCTAGTCCAATACTATTGAGGAAGGGCACTGCTTAATGTAATTTTGCTATTGCCATTTGAAGCCACGGTATGCAGTGTCCTCAGAGGTCTATACTGGAGCAGCGGGAAGGGATTTCAAACACTTCATCTGCCCCCCATCTCACCTTCTTCTGCCCCTGCTTTGCCATGCCACACCTCCTCAGGTTCGAGGGCTTCGTCATAGTCACGGTTCCATTTGTGCACATCCCATCTGCCGGTGCCTCGCAAACGTCACTGGAGGTTCGGCGGATGCCAGACGTATTGCGGTTCGGCAACCCACCTCCGTCGCTGGTGATATCATACGAAAATGAACGAATGAAGTTTTGTCCCTGTCCGCTGCTACTGCCCGCCACACTGCCTAGTTGCACAGATCCCAGCCCTTGGCGAATCGCCTGCGTGACGTCGCCAGCAAGCTCGTCAGACAGATTTCCATCCGCGAAGCAGCCGCTGGTAACTCCCGGCTGCCCATCGTTGGCCGCAGGAAACGAAAAACGTCGAAATTCGGCGCAAAACGGCGGGGTTGGAGCTTCCGCAGCTCCGTTGATCTCATTGGTGCAATCGCCTACCGCGCGCTGTTCCGCTTCCGGGTATGCTGCGCTGGGAGCTTGCGCTCGTAGCTCCGCGAATTTTTTTAGCTCCGCGCCACTCTCGGATGGCGCAAGCGGGGAAAGGGACTGCGCGAGAGAAGGGGAAAATAGCGACACCCACGCGCGGTGCTTCCGCCGCTGCTCATCCAGAACCAGCAGCGGATGCTGCTTCGACGCCGCTTGCGCCACCTGCGCTTCCCCCGTCGCGCAGCTGGCTTCCGCGAGTTGCGTATTGCGCCCTTGTTGCGCGTCCCGCTGCTGCTGCAGCAGCGGCGGAGGAAGCGCGGAAGGGACCGCGTGTTGAGGCGCACCAAACGATCTTATGTTATTCAACGGCAGAACTTGAACCTTGGGCGGCGCACAGCTCGCGGGGCCGCTTATAGCGGGTATGGTCCGCCAAGATGAGTCAGACAGCACCGGCGCCTTCGGGGGAAGCGGCGGAAGGTGCAGCGTTCTCGGCCTCGCCATGATCTTTTCCGTTATAACGGGGCTGCTTATAGGCGACGCGAGATCGCTCGCGCTGCTATCGACCGACGTGGCGGGCGACGACGGACCGCCCGTCAGGACTGACGAAGGCGAAGACTCCAGATGAATCCGGGAGCCGGGTTTACCGCCGCGACCTCCGCCGCCATTCGCGCCGTCGCAGCCGCTGCTGTTGAGGTCCTCCATCGAACAGGTTCGACGGAACTCTCGCTTACCGCCTCGCGAGTCGCCGCAGAGCCCGCCGAGGTTTCTGTCGCTAGCCGAGGCTCGCAGTGGCGAATGCGATAGATTTCCGCCAATACCAGCAGTCGGGAACGAATGCGACGCGAAGCTGTCGCTCGCGCCGGCGCTGCGACGGTCAACAGTCGCAGCGCGACGAAGCATCAAGCCGTCAGTGGAGCACGAGCCGTCGATAATCCAATCCAGAAGCAGGAGCTCGTCCGCGCTCTCCGCGCTCTCCGCGGTCAACGGCGCGGTGTTCTCCACGGACGCCGCCTTGCTCAAGCTTCTTGCGCCCACAGCTGGCTGCCCTTCCGCGGGAGACTTTCCGCCGCTGTACTCTTCCGCACCAGACGCACGGTATTGCGCGCCCATCTCGCGTTCGACGCTGGGCGCCGCGAAAGGGAAGCACGACATGGCTGCTGCAGGATCCCGCGACGGCTCTTCCGCAGCGCACAGAGGCTCGAAGGCGAGAGTGGCCATGGTTGCGGGACTCCCGCAAGTTGCGCTTGAAAATGAGCAAGCGGTCAGCGCTCCGCAAGGACTTTTGAGGGGGCTCAAATGTCAGAGCGAACCGCGAGTGAAAGGGAAGCAACGCTGCGCAAGAATATCGCAGCGCAAAAAAAAAAGGGGGTACTTATCGGCGCTCACAAGAAATGGCTGTCCGCTCCCCTGTGGATGTGAATGCAGCGCCGACAAGGCACAGAAGTTTTTTCCCTTGAGTAAAGATAGTCGAACCTTTACGTGATGGGTATGCAAGCTCGAACCCCTGTATGCGACACGGGCGTGGACGTGCGGCAGAAGCGAATTTGCGAGGGGCGGTTACAAACCACGAACTCAATGCTGCCAACTAAATCTGGTCGGGATTTCCGCGCCGTTCTGGCAATCTCAAAGCCTTTAGAACCACTCAGAAGGTCCGAGGGAAGGGAACACACCAACTCAAGTGCAAGTGCACACGGTCTTCAGCGGCCCGCTGTTGCAGGCAAATGCACTTCAAAACTTGGACCACTGTGGAAGAAGGGCAGGTCTCTTTCACAAGTTGAAAGTGTTCACTATGCTCTGCACTCAAATGCCCTTCCATTCCACAGGCTTGGCATGTCTTACCGTGGGCACGAATGAACTTGCCCTAGGAGGGCTGACGATGCGACCAATTTCATGCACACACGCAGCGAAAGCAGTCCTGCCTGCATGCGTCTGTGGTGGTGGTGGCGGTGGTGGATGGTAAAGAGGAGCTTCTGGTTGGTCGCAAAAAATGACGTGATGGGGATGGTGCGTCCATGATTCGAAACATGTGATGATGGTGGTGGTGGTACATCCATTACACTTCCAGATGTATGGGGAGATCAACACTTTTTTTCCCGACGGTGCTTGCCATACCTAGACTCCACACTCCACCCACTAATGCCCGTGTCTAAAAATCTGATGAAGAACCCTGCCAGAACCTGTTCCCACCAATACTGCATGAACTATGTGGGTATGATACGACTAGATAGGGATATGGAAGTGCCATAACATAATTTCCCCCTGATCATTCGAGCAACTCGATCTTGGGCGCTGGTGCTGTCAAGCCCGTTTCCCGCCACTTTTGTGGTCGTCAAACTGGATATGCAGCATACAAAAGGACAACTTACAAATCCGATGCTTGGGTGCAGCAGCAGCATGCTGCTGCCACTTTATTGGATCACGGCCCACGACTATGAACCAAGTGGAAATAATTTAGATATCTAAGGATGCGTTCCTGCAAAGAATAAGTTCATCAATCAACCTCATACAGTTCTTTATAAGTGAAACAAAAAGTGTCAGGCCGGGGGTGAGGGGGTGTGAAACAGGGCTCACGTTAGCAGGGCAATTACCCTGTTTTGACTTAAATTATAGGGCTTTTTTCAAGGCAACTCTTATTTTCACTAGGTGATTTTTAAGCCAGCCCGTAAAACTGAAGGGTGATTTCTTGAGAAACTCGGATCCTCCGGGTTGTTTCTGAGGGGACCCGTATAGTTTTAGCAACACTTATTCTCCTCGACCTGCTTTGCATTCCCCGCCTCTCCCCGTGTACTATGTGTGGGCCAATTTTAGTGGAATTTCCTTACCACTCGCTCCTGGTTTGGCCTTCAAGTGTCTGATTGCCCCGTCCTACGTAGGAATGGGTTAGACTTGACTCTTCCAAAGTCAGCAAAAAGTCTCTCTCCAACCCTCTAGAGCCGCTCCTACATCCCCAACCTCCCCAGCCCTAGTGCCGTGAGTTTCTCGATCTCTCCCCCATCCCGCGAAATTTTGGTAATGCAGGTTTTCAGGCCTTTTCTGACTAGAGCCCGGATTCGTCAAGGTTTTTTTTCCCCTGGCTCGGATTTTACAGGGTCTTTTTCACCGGGGCCCGGATCGTCCGGGCTAGCAAAAATCCTAGCAATAGCCCTGGTGTGAAATGCTGTATGTATTTCTTTCCAATTTACAGAAAATGCAGTAGTGACTCGAGCCCACTCTCGTGGGTCGTGACGTCGTGACGACAACTCATCCGTGGTGGTCATAGCAGCATGTGCCGTTCGCTGACGACACATCAGCAATCATTAACATCAGCTTCGCACTCTTGAGTCGTGTTCAATGCTGCCTCAACAGCGCTGATTCGTTCCTTGATTACGAAAATGAGCGGGAAAGTCATAGCTGATGAAGCAGACTGATCGGTCTGGAAAGCCTTCGAACCAGGTCAGCATCCTAATAGCCCTTGAGAATATTTGAACAAGGATGAATGAACTATGAATGAAGTGAGTACATATAGGAAACCCTAATTGGGTTGTACCCCCTATGGGATACCCCACTATAGCCTACACAACAGCATAAGCTATATGTATGTTCTGACACACCCCCATAGGCAAAGTGGGGGAGAACAAGGGGTCACAAGACCAGTCACTCAAAGCACAGCAAGCTCAGGGTGGATCACAAAGTCACCACACAGTCCGAGCACAACGACAAGGCCACAAGGCCAGTTCACATACAGGAGTGCACATATATATATAGAGCTAGACAAGCAAGAGCAGATATATATATGTGACAGTACAAGCAAGGTCAAGAGGAGAGCAAGTGAGGCAAGACAGGTACAAGACCCAGCTGAGTGCAGAAGCGCTGATGGTCACAAGGCGCAAGTGCCTTGGTCAACACATCAG